TAGGATCCATAGAAACAGTAGAGACTAACTGCAGTTAAACAGTGGTGGATTTGTACTGCTTTAAGAGAAATGTCTTGTAGCCAGAGTTCCTAATTTGTCTTTTTATGTGATTCTACAGGTGTTTGCCTTTGATCACTGCTTCTGGTCCATGGATGAATCAAACACCACAAAATATGCAGGTAAACTATTTTCCATATGTTTGGCGGTGTAAATAATTTGAGAACATATGAGAGTTCGGGCTTTTGTTTTGTGGAGGTGTTTTTTGTGTTTTGTACTGTCATGCTCAAGTGACTTCCTCACAGAAGCAGACTTCTCATTGAGTCATTTGAGTGCTAGTGCCTTGGTTTAGAATGAATGCTAGTTTTAAGGTGCCTGGTATGCTGTTCAGAGGGATGCTTTTACATCTAAGCTATAATGGGTTTTTTTCATCCCCTGGAAGAGCTTTTGTGAGGATTGTTTCTGTCACTTAAAATGAAATTTCAGTTCTGCATCAGAAATTACTTCTGACTAATGCTAGTGATGAATGTGTGTGTTTTCAATGCTCTGCATTCCTGTGCACGAGAGGAATAAAGTACGTTCTCCTCAGATAGTGTGGTTATTTCAAGTTTTTTCAAGTCATTCATTCTCTGATTATTCAGATCCCTAATGTTTTTGAGTGATCAGCTTTGACTCCCTCCTCCCAAAAGATGGGTAATCCAGGCAAGATTGTAATCCCAGTAGTTAGTTTTCTAATAACTGGATTTATGTATTAGCATATTCATATTTAATAAGAGGGCCTGTTGTGGTGAAGACTACTCTGAACACTGGGGTTTCAAGGCTGTGGTCCATGGAAAGGCGGGGGAAAAAAGCATTCAATTTAGATATTCATATTATGAAGTCTTGTGGCCCATAAGAAATCTTGAAGATTGATGGGGTTAATTAGCTCAACGTTTGAGATCAGTGATCTGATAAATGAACTGTCATGTATTTGTGTTAAAATATATCTCTGCTGTAGCCCCTAGTGTCGAATCCCAAATCTTAGCGGTTGCACTTGATCATAGATTCTACTGTATTTCTTACTTGCCTGAGCAAGGATAAGTTTCTTCAGGAAAAAAGTTCTGCATTGGTTCTTGTTTCAGTAACTGTGTTTGCACTGGGCAGCTGCACTGCACAGTATTAGTAATTCAGGCTGGTAGAGCCTCTGAAGCACACAGCACGTCCCTCTCTGCCTGCCTGCACGCCTCTGCTTCCTTGCGAAGGAAGGAGGTGATGGTATATGCCCAGATCTTGGCCCTGTCTGCCTCCAGTGTGCAGGTGGGAGCTGCACCTTTTGGGGTGCACCATGGTACTGACCCACTTCTCGAGGAGAGACCAGAGAAACACCCCTAACCAGTTAAACTTGTTTCTGTCTGTTTAACCCTTCTCCAGGTGAATTCAGTGGGGTTCTGTGTCTAATTATTTTTAATTTGAGTGAAAACTGGATTTCTCTAGCTTATTTCAGAAGCTGTCGTTGAATTAGTCTTATCTGAGAACTGAAGTTTTAGTATCTGTATGCAGATGAACCTCTTGTTGGACTGGACTATAGGAAGCTGTCGCCTGCATCTCTTGTGTTTTCTTACTAGCCAGAAAGCTGTAAGGTGATGTTTTGACCATTCCAGATAACGTTCCTGATGGGAGGGGGGGAAGTGGGGTAACCAAACCCAAAACTTGTTTTCCTTGGGTTTTTAAAATTTATATCCCTGTGTCGTGTGTCATCGTCCCCCCTCTGTCATTCATGTCCCACCCCGCCCCCCCCAATATGTGTGTGAGCTTCAAGACTTGCATGTGAAAAACAATGCTTTCACTCCCTTTTTTCTTTTTTTTTTTTTTTTTGGTATGGTCTTGAAGTTAGCTTGTGACTTCCAGCTCTCATATTCCAGAACATAATGAATTTGGAAGAATATCAAAAGGAAAGTAAAAAAAAAGAAACAAAACTGTTCCAGGCCTAAGTTGCTGGCCTGCTGGCTTATTCACTTGCTTGTCCATGAACTTGTACTGTTCTATACTACAGTAGTGTTTCTTGTTTGAGAGCCAACAAACCAAATGTGGAAATGGCAAGATTTCAGTTTTTATCTATTCGTAGTATTAAGGTGCCCTAGTCTTTTTCACAGCTTAGCCTAAATTACTGTACTGAACGAAAAAAATACAATAACTGCTTTTGATTGCAGTTTTTGATAATTCCTTTGCCTTGTGGAACAAACCTCCATTCTTCTAGATGCCTTGCAAATACCCATGTTGTCTGTGTCCAGAGATCATACCAGAGACTGTTATGGAATTAACAAGCTTAAAGAATTCAAACAAGCCTCTGACAGCTTGAGTTTTTGAGCTAAACTGTAATTTCTTGGCTGGGTGCTGGGCTGGAGAAGGGGTGCTGACCCAGAAGCTAGACAGAGGCATTTAATACACCCTGCCTGAAGTAACTTTATGTGGATGCGTCAGTTTAATGTCATTGGCAAGAGCAGTGATTAGTTGCACAATTGAAAGGAAACACATATAAAGCTTGCAAGCAAAGTCCAGAGTGCTTGTAAATGTAAGTGGTGTATGAGCTTCAAGCTTAAGTCAAATTCTTGAAATATAAAAACTTAACTTGAAAAACCCTTTTATCTGCATCACAGGAATACAGTGGAAGATGTGACAGTGAAAGGTTTAACGAGACATTCTCAAATACGAGGCTGCCCTATCAGTCATTGCTGTCTGTGCAAAACCAGAACATACTCGGCTTGCATTATGTTGAATAGATTTATTGTTTTGTATATCATACCTGTACCAAAGATTTTGTTGATTGACATGTGGGATGTCAGAAAACCCACAGAATGGTGTGCAGCACAGACAACATACAACTGAATTCTGCATTGACTTACGTGGATAACTCTCCCTTGTTGGGTGGCTGGGGGTAGGGTGGGGTGGTTTTTTGTTTTATTTTGGGTTGGGTTTTTTTTTAATGTCAACAAACCCAAAGTTTCTGCTCTCCTGGAAATGCACACTTTAAAAGTAGCTAAAAAGCTATCACACATGATTATGGGCTGTTTTTATTTTTCACTTTGCCAATTGATCTACAGTACTACCAGCACTTAGTTGTATGGCTTGCACAAGAGTGAGATTGTTTGGATCAACTTTGTTGCATGGGTAACTGGTAATGAATCTCAGGCTGTGGGGCAGCAGGGCTGACCTTGAAACGGGATTAGCCATGTCATTATTTTGCACTAGACTTATTCTGTGAGGTGTCTTCAACTTTTTTGGCTGAACATGAGGCTTATTTTGTACGTACAGATTTTCTTTCTGAACTCATATTCAGGAAGTACAAGGGATCTTATTCCGGTTTGAAAATTACCTTCTCTTCCAGCATTAGAAAACATGGGGTTTGTTTTTCTTGGTAGCAGAATTGCTTTTTTTGGCAATTTTTTATTTCCACTGAAATGGAAATTGGGTTCTAAAATTCGAAAATGATGCAGCAGTATGACTAACAGAAACAGTGAAGGTAACCGTCACGTGAGGAAAACCATCTAGAGGGCATCTTTGCAGCTCACCTTACAGGACTGTATCTCTTGTGAAGACAGCAGGGAGTCTGGATGACAGAAGAGGAGTAAGCTCTTCACAAAACCTTTGTGGAAGTGGTGCTTCGGTTTCAGATACTGCAAGAGATGGAGGCTGTCTAACAACTTGATATCCCAACTTAGAGATTGCAAGATGCAGAACCCCCTCTGAATTTTTCTCAAGACTGAAAATGAAATGTTTTTAATCTATGTTAAAATGGGTCAGGGGGGTTGTGGGTTTTTTTAAAATTTTTTTTAATCCAACCAGTTAGCAGGTAGAGGGAAGATTACTCTGAATACTGATACTCTGTGTTTCCGAACAATTTGTGGCTGTGTCATTCCAAGCAAGGAGCAGTTACAAACCTCTGGGTTTGCGCTGATCGTCACATGCTAGCTCCTGCACCTTTTCTTCTGATGATTTAATTCTGAAAGATTGTTGTCTATTTGGCAGGAACATGAACCTCTTATTGGAAGATTTTTGAGGGAGGGAGGGGAATTTGGTTGTTTATAGGATAGAATGAGTTTGCCTTGATCTGGAAGAGGCATGAACTTTACCTGACAGGCTATAGGAGAGGTATTTGAGAGTAAGCAAAATAAATTGGTACCATGTGTTTCTTGACTTGAATGGGTCAAGAATCAGTTCATGAATAAGGAGACACCTGCTTGCCTTGAAAAGCTCGCAGAGACAACAGCTTGGCATTTTGGTGAAGAGGAGGAGGACATTGATGAATTCTCAGAGACGAGAACAAAGAATTCTTTTTACAAGCCTAGACAACAGTAAGAGCCTATTGAAGTCTGCAGTGAAGTGGATTTTTAAAAGGAAAGGAAGAAACCCTTCAATTTGGGAAGGATTCAAGAGGTGATATAAATGACTACCACAGCACTTAGGCAGGACCATTCCAAGGACCCCACTCAGTATCAACTTGTCCATGGATTTTTCTTAAACTCCCTAAGCTGGATCACGTTTGGCCTGAAATCTCAGCTCTGTGTTTCTGCAGGGTATGTTGTCCTGAAAGGCTAAACACTTGACTTTGGGCTAAGCTTTAATTTTATAGGAAATATGTGTGCTGACTACTGCTCTTTCAGTCGCTGTTTTAAAAGGAAACAAGCCAGGCAATTGGCTTAAAGAGCTGTGTGCTTCTGCCCTCAAGAGAGATCCTAAATTGTGGATTTTGAGCAGACTCGAGTGTCTCTTTGTAGTCCTGATTAATATTTAAGCATCCCATGGGAGAGACCTGTCCCTTTCTTACTGTTCCCTTGATTTGTTTTTTTTTTTTTTTTTTAGAGGATACTATACGTGGAATGTAGGATTTAATTTTGTGTCACACAGCTGACGCCTGACCTGTACATTTTTGGGGGAACTTAGTTATTCAGTTTTAGCATTGTATGGGTCAGGCACTTAAAATGTAGATGTTGCAGCACCTAATTTGAAACACTGGAGACCTTTTAGTGGATTAAGGCTTTGAACATTACAGACTCCAGTGCTTTGTCAGTGCTGTAGTGTTAGGCTGCAGTAGTTAGACAATGCTAGCTTTTGTGCTTTTAGGTTCTTGTTAAGGTGAACCACAGGCATCTTCCTGTTTTAGAGAGATTCTTTTAAAACCATTATCTAGCAAGGCTTTTAATAATTCAGATCTCCGCAGATTAAGTTTTATTTTAACTATTAGATCATAGAACCAACTGCAATTTATTGCTGTCAAAATTTGCTTATTAAAATGTTCTGGATTAGAGGTTAAGCCATAAAGAGACTTGATTCTTCAGTGTTGTACATAACAAGTTGTTACTTGGTTCTGGCTGTTTTTGCTGTGAAAGGGAGGGGGTTTCAGGAATGACAGTAATGTGTCATAACATTGCAGTCACGACCTGGCTGAATGAATCTGTGCTAATATGAGACAGTTATCCCTATTTCAGATCGACAAGTTGTTGTGAGCTAGACAGCTAAAAACCAGACACTGAAACTAATTTTTGTTACAGTACATCTTGAATGTGTTTGTCAGTAAACAAGCAGATTTTAGGAAAGATGGTAACTGTTAACTGCCTTTTAAAAACGGAGTTTTGCTGGGAAGGGTGTGGCCCTTTTCCTCCCCTCCCTTCCCTCTTTTCTCTTCTGTCTGCAATCTGTCAGTAGTCTAGCGAACTTGAGAATGTTTAAACTTTATTTGTAAATAGCTTAATTTTGCAGATTGTGAGAACAGGTCCTAGGGTTCCTCTGCAAGGTGTTGCTTTCCCTAGGAACACTGTCAAATCGCATCTCCCAATCACGGATTCAGAAACTGTAAGGGGATGATTTGTAGGAAGAGAAGGGGAAAGAGCATAGAGATATAAGAGAGAATACTTAAAGATCATGTCCTGAAAATGATGTGTGTTGTATTTATGCATGTCAGGGTATGTATTTATGCATGTCAGGGTATGTATTTATGCATGTCAGGGTATGTATTTATGCATGTCAGGGTATGTATTTATGCATGTCAGGGTATGTATTTATCGTTCTGTTTTCAGAGACTTTTCGTTATCTTACATATTTTCCAAATTTAAGTGTTCTAGTAATTCATACTGGCTCAGAGGTTCCAACTCAGATTTTCCCATGCAGCTCTGTGGATAGGTAGTGTGAAAGTTTTATTTTAGAATTGTTATAACTTAATAGCCATTATTAACATGTGCACTGCCATGCCTTTACTTTGGTTTATATTTTTGCCATTGAAATACCCAGCCATTTCAGTAGGTAGGGAACATGTGAAAAAACTTTTTGGCTTCAAAGTGCCATACTAAACACCCTTGCTGAATAGTAATAGCACAAGCATGGCATTTGGAAGTTCCAGAAATATATGTAGCTTAAAAACGTAAATCTGAGAGGGAGATGGGTTTCCTTTTGCTTTCAGGTAAGTCACAGATACCATTTCAAATGCTGAAATCTTCAATATCTTTAGTATGGTTATTACTAAAACAGCAGTGTTCATTATCTTGGTTTATATGCTTATGGAAGAACGTCAAGAGCATGTCAGTGCGCTGAACATGTGAATATGCTCAGTCATAAGAGCTGATGGAAAGATTCTTTGGTCAGTCTCCTGCTGGAAGTGACCTTCTGAGAGATTGAGAGTTATTAATTGGATCTATCTTAGATTTTTTTTGTTTGCTTGGTTTTTTTTCCTTCCTTACTGTTGGCATCAGATTTGCAGTTGTGCTTGTCAAAATGCACAGGTAATGTCTTGAAGCTACGAAGACGGTTACAGCTGTCCAGTGACAGTGGAAAATGTTTCCATATTGTCTTGATGTTGCTATCCAGTACATCTTTGGAACTGAGTGGGCATCCACCAGTGTTTCTCAGGCCTCAATTAGTAGAGCACACCTAACAGTGTGTTAGTGGGGTTTCACACCTTGCAGCAAGATGGGCACTGCCCCATGGGCTGTATTGGGAGCTACAGAGCATACAGCAGCACTGTCCGATAGTCTTTCTCACTGCATGTTTCCAGGCTCCTTAAATCAAAGGAAACAAGACTCATTGGACTGTGGTCTGCAAGAAAAATTTGCCAGACTTTGCTTCCCTTTCCTCAAAGGGGTGAGCACACAGGAGATCCAGGCCTGTGAGAACTGACAGCTCGTATTCTTACCCCGATGGCCTTGCGTTGCTTTCCCCAGCTCGGCTGACCGTGTCCATCAGTCTCCTAAGGCTCACCCGTGTTCTGAGCAGAAGGTGGGAGAGGGGACGGGTGTTTCAGTATCTGGCCTTTAATTGCCTCTGTAAGAGGCTGTATGTCTTAGCCAGCTGGAAGACTGGGAATCCTTGTCTTAAAGACAATAAAGGTTGGTATAGTGGAAAATCTTTTCTGTTAACTAAATAAATGTAATAATTTTTTTCTGTATTTCTTCCTTTTTTGTAAATTAAGTTAAAACCCCTGCTTACCTCTTTAAACACTAGGTATCTGTGGAAGAAAAGTTCTGTAAATAAACAAAAGTATTAATTGCAGGTGACACAGGTTTATTTAGCAAAACAAAAATGCAGTAGTGTAGCCAATGGAACTGCATTATTTCTTTTGTCCCTAAGCGCATGTAGACGTAATTCTGCATAATACAGATTTTGTAATCAGTTTGCAAACCCACTAATAAAATTCATGGGAGAAGCAGTGAGGTTTCTTAATGAAAAATACCAAAATGTCATGGATGATAGGCTGTTATTCTCAACAGTGCACTGCATAATTGAAGTTTAACGTCTTGTGTCTTTTCTGTGAGCGCACTTTAAAACAAACCTTATTTTATCCCTCAATAATTTGACTGGTTACTATAAACATCATTCTTTAATGACTCATTTGTCTATGTTGGTATTGTTGAGCTCTTAAAAACTGTAATAAAAATACCATTTTAGAATTATGTATCAGTGTCTCATTGACTTTCAGTTTGTGTTGACTGTTGAAAATTAAATTTCTTCTGAAAAAAGAAAAAAAAAAATCCAGCTTTGTCTGTGAGATTCAAACTGGGTTCCCTCCTTGGTATTTAGCAGTAAGGGATTCTGTAGGTCATCTTATAGTTGTCATGACCATGCACAATTTTGTAATTCTTTGGTTTCTGCTTTTTTTCTTGGGAAATGTTAGAGGAGGTTACTGGTTTATTGCGGTCAGAAGTGGGCAATAAAGGGTTTTTCTTCTTCTGACAAATGATTTTATTCTCCACTCACAATCGTTGCAGAATATATATGCCTTTTTCTCTTAATTGTGCTTAGCTTCAATCTTTGCTTGGTTTTGCATTCTTGCTCAGCAAGATAAGTGGCTCCCTGCCTCTGATACTTGGTGACTTCAAAATGGGCCCTCAGGAGCTGGTTGGAAAGCAAATTTTTGTGTATTGTACGTTCTTATTAAAATCTTCTGCTGATACATTTTCTTTGTTCATTCTTCAGTAGTTTAACGTTCTCTGTAGCTCTTTCCAGGTTGTTGAACAATGAGCTCTCGACATAGACACTTTAAAATGACCAAATGATCCTGAGCTGAATGAGGAGTGAATGAATGCGCATGGGGAAGGAGATGGAGTTGTTCCAGACTACATCAGATTCTCCTCTGGTTTTAATCCCTATATTCAGCTTTTCTGAACTGTGTTAATCCAAGGAGCTGTGACACTTTGGAGTTTTAGAAATTCAGCTGGAATTCGAAGTTCAGTTAGAAATTAGGAATTCAGCTGGAACACAAAGACCATTTGATAGGGCGTCGCTGTACTGATTTTTTTCCTTTACAGCAGAATAGAAATTAGGTTAAAGTCAAAGGGAAGGAAAAGTAAATAGTGCTTTTAGTCCTATTTACATGCGTGTAAAATCATTCTGCAGATTGTTCTGCAGGAATTTTCTGGGCTACCAGTTACTCAAGGATCATGAAGTGTAAATGTTCTCATGCATTGTATAAATGTATAGCTAGATACTATTTTTTTGTGCTGGTGTGTTCAGTTTTGAGAACTGTGGAAGTCACTATTGCATCTGCTAAACAAAATAATTTCTTGTAACTGATAACTGCCGAAACTAACTTGCCAAAATGAGAGCTACAGCTGATGATAGCTGTTCAGAAAGTCACCAGGCAGTGAATGTAAGTTTAAAACCAAACACCAGAAGATGTATAAATACTGCGCTTAGCTCAGCTCTGCTTGTTTTGGGTGCGCACAGAGCTAGTGTGATTCTTTGATCAGAATTCAAAGCAGATAACCCATTGACCCTCTTTGTGGCATACAAATTCTGGACATTCCTATAAAAAACCAAAACCAAACCCCAAAACCCCCAACCACTATGCCAGTTTTCATCTTCTACATCTAAAAGGTTAAAGCGCGTCTAAAATCTGCCTGGCACAGGGAGACAGTTTTCAGACTATGAAATTCTGCAGCTGGTGTTTCAAACTATGGTTTTGACAGAATATCCTCAGACAGTTCTGTTGAAGTCTGGAAGCCTCCTAATAATGCATTTCCCCCCTGAATGTCATCGGGATGCTTTTATCTTGATTCCAGCATCACCTTGCCATGGGGCTTATGATGAAACTTGAGGCCAGTTCCCAAGAGAGCAACTGCTACTATTCATAACATCATAATTTGTTGTACCTCTAATATCCTAGTTCGTTAACGGGTTTCATTGCAATTCTATTACAGAACTCTCTTTGGGTATAGTTCATGCTTAAATAATGTATATTAATTGAAAAATTTACACTTAAATAATACAAAATGTAGACATCTGTGTTGTTTTCTAAGCATTCAACTGATATGACACCTTTTGAAGAACTGTTGCCTTTAGAGGAAAATCAGCAACATATTTAAACACAGAGGTAGCTGTTACACTAGTTTCAGGCAACAGTTTTGTACTTGTCACTGAGTTCTGTGTGAAATCATTTGTGTGTTCATCAGTGCAGTCAACAGTAAAAATAATTTGTAAACTTTTTTCTTGTTTTCAGTAAATTTTAGTCTGTATTCAATTTAAAATTAACTTTATTTTCTAGGTCAAGAAGTGGTGTTCAAGTGCCTTGGAGAAGGAATTCTTGAAAAGGCCTTTCAGGGATATAATGCTTGTATTTTTGCCTATGGACAGACAGGTGAGTCTCCTGTGCTAAAGGGGAGGAACACTTTTTGTGCACATGGGAAGTGGGAAGAACAAAACTTAAATATTAAGCTACATAGTGTTTTAAATTTGTATTTTGAAATACAATGTTAACAAAGGTTTAGCACAGCCAGTGACAATATAAAGTTCTTAAAGCAGCTCTGTAAATATGTTCCTGGTTACTGCCTGTTGGGGCTGCTTTCAAAGCCTGAAAGGAGCAGTTCGTACTGAAGACCCGTTCCGTTTTTCTGTTCAAGGGTGTCCCAAGCAATGGCCCTGCTTGAAAGAAACCTTTAAGATAATTTTGCTTTTTGTTTACCTGTACCTTGTAGTCCAAAGAGCAAGCTCTCTGTCTGGAATGGCATCTCATGATATGTGCTTCTGGTGGAATATAAAGACAATTAAACTTGTGCTTCATGAACAAATAAGTAGATCAGAAACTACATTCTAAAGCATTTTCTTCCTTTTTTTTTCTTTAGGTTCAGGAAAATCCTTTTCAATGATGGGCAATGCAGAGCAGCTGGGTCTGATCCCACGGCTCTGTTGTGCTTTATTTCAGAGAATCTCTGTGGAAGAAAATGAATCTCATACTTTTAAAGTTGAAGTGTCCTATATGGAAATCTACAATGAGAAAGTCAGAGATCTGCTTGACCCAAAAGGGTGAGTTGCTTCACTCTCCCCCACAGCCTTCCTTATTTTTATCTGAAACTATAAAAGTAGAAATCACCTTTAGAAGTCCTTGAGAAGGTGTTTTTCAGAATGTATGTTTATACAACTTCTTCAGAAAGGATTTGATATCAAACACCAGAAAGAAAAGAATATCTATGTAGAGCTTGTGTATGAAGTAGTAATTGGCGTGGATCAATTTAAATATTAGAGTACCATCATAATGGTGCAAACAAATACTGTATGAAGTAGACTACCATCAGAAAGCAGGACTATGTACAAGTAAATTCTGTGATGTTTTTGCCGTATGATCCAGGCTGTATTCAGGTAAGAATTTTCATCAACTAGGAGGAGTTTGAAGCTTATTTACAACTTGGTTTCTGTGGCTTAGACTTTGAACTTTCTCGATGTGGAAGGGTAACACCTCAGAATGGCACTCTTTCTTCTGTTTTATCTACACAAAAATACTGGATAGGCTCTCTGGCTTGGAGATGTCTAGACAAGAGGTAGTTTGATAGGTTTTTTTTTCAGCTGAACATTGATATATATGGTATATGTTTTGATTCTTGAACATAATTGCACTGGGTGAAGAAGTATGCAAGTTAGTTAAAAAGTAGATTTGAGACTGACTTGGTACATGTCAGTAAAGTGTGGAAAATGAAAGAAGAACTGAAGCTTTAGCAGCAAATTGCAGGGAGGGCAGAGGATTTGGGGTTTCCTTTTTTTGTCAGCATTCTTTCTGCAAATAAGGCATTTCAGATTTTGTTCCAGCCACAAATATTGGAGGGGGAGAAATTATTAAAAATAATTCATGTATATAGATTAAAACCAAATTGATTAATTTGAGTCTTTATTGTTAATTTGAGTTAAAAACAATTATGGAAGACTTTTTTCCTCCTGTTACAATTAAAATACATAAATTTACTTCTACTGTATAGAAGATTCTTATCCTTTCATACTGTAATTTTTGTTTTTCAATGAAGTTCACACTAGTGGATTGTGCATAAAGTCTACTTTATTCTGTAGGAGTCGACAGTCCCTTAAGGTTCGAGAGCACAAAGTGTTGGGACCATATGTAGATGGCCTGTCTCAGCTGGCTGTTACAAACTTTGAGGTAAATTTAAGCCAATGACAAGTTTATAAATAACACCTATGTACATAAGCAATAAGAGTCTTGTAAGAGATCAACTAGTGTCTGTGCAGACACTTTGGTTCTTGAGTGTTTATGATCTCTGGTGATGGCAAAGATCTTCTCTAATGCTTTAGTAGTATTTGTTTCATGTAAAAGCATCAGATTTGCCTTCATGTTGGTTAAAAATATAATAGTGGTGTCTTTTTTATAGTTTTCAGTGAATATATTATACACCAAGAACACAATATTTCCTTGACACAGGAAATATGAGGCTTCTAAAATAAGAATAGTAGTCTTCCAGCACGAATTCCTTTGGTTTTGTTGTTGAATATGACCTCTTACTTTATACAGGTGTATTGCATGAGGAGCTACAACATTGCTTACATAATTCATCATTTAAAGCATGGCAGCATCAGAGCCTGCTTGAGTTACCAAAACACATTCAAATAAATCAGCCAATGAACTACTACAGATAAAATGGAGATAATTAAAGCGATGCAGTTGTATGAATTTCGTAGGCCTTTCTTTTTATAAGGAAGCTGATTTGGAAATGTTTGGGTTTTTAAAAAAATGTTCATGCTTTGTGTATTATTATGTGGGATCTATTTTTCTTTTTTTATGGGGATTTTTATTTTTCTGAAGCATGTGTGCATATTAGAGTTATAAAAAACGCTTTTGCAGCTTTTACGGTGAATTGTGTACTTGGAAAGCACACCTTCTTTATTCAGATTCTAGGAAATTTCGTTCATACCTAGTTTTTGGCTGATGACTTTCATGAAAGTGTCTTGGAAGACTCAGCAAGCACATATATTGGTCGGCATAGTTGTCTTTGTTTTTGCTTACATGGGAAGGTACAGGCTCCAGGTGAGGTAACTCTTTGAGCCAATTAAGTGAAGATAGTAATAGCGTGGTTCAGTAAGGAGATGCATTGTGTTCGCTTGTATAAGTAGATCTGTGCTGGCCTGATTACTGGCATTAAACAACATGATTTGTAATGTGGATGTTGCCAGTATATTTCAGCAGCAGATAAGGAGAAGGTGCATTGGCCATAGTTGCTGGGCTTTTAAGCACAGCACTTAACAGATGTGATTTAACGTTGTTCTGTGGAGTTACATACCCTCTGTACCAATAAATCTCAAAATGTGCAAAGAATTTTCTTACTACTTCTACCTTCCCTTCTTCCTCTCTCCCACACACACACCCCATTTCATCTAGATGCGGATTTTGTTCAGCAAGCACAATACTTGCTTTTATCCTAGCATCACTTTTTACTCCTTTTGCTCTAGGATATTGAGTCACTGATGTCAGAGGGAAACAAATCACGAACTGTTGCTGCAACCAACATGAATGAAGAAAGCAGCCGCTCTCATGCTGTATTCAATATTATAGTGACTCAGACACTTTATGACCTGCATTCTGGTGTATGTATTTCCGTTGATTCTCCCTTCTTTCACATACATTATCTGTTTAGCTGTGCTTCTACCTTTAATGCCGTGGGGTCTGGTAATCAAAGTAATATTGGCAAGACTGTAAGATTGAAAGAATTGTGGAAGAGTGCAGAAGCGTGACAGAAAGCAAACAGTTGGATCACTTTTTAAGATTGTATTGCCACCATGAAACATGTCTTAAGTCTTGACTATTGCTAAAGTTGTCGTGTTTTAATGGCATACTCTGCCAGTAAGGTTATTGATGTTAACACATGGCTGACTTCAGTTCATAAGTGCTTCAGCCGCCCTCTACTATAAAATATGAGTGACTCTTAAAGAGCTGTAAAAACTCTGAAAATTCCTGCTTCTCTTGTATTGTGAATTTGATACTTTAACCCACATTATTGTGAAGAACAGTGTTTCGTGGTGCGAGTGTCAGAGATGTTAGCACTTTGCTGGTGTTTCTTAGCTGTTGTTCTCCCGTGTCCCATCTGTGCAGAATTCTGGAGAGAAGGTCAGCAAGGTCAGCCTGGTGGATTTGGCTGGGAGCGAGAGAGTGTCCAAAACAGGAGCTGCTGGAGAACGTCTGAAGGAAGGCAGCAACATAAACAAGTAAGACATTGGCATATTCAGGTTGCAAAGCTTAATCATGTTAGAATCACTGTTTCCTTGGCCTTCTCTCTCAGTGTACTTGTCACAAGTCAGTTCAAATGATAGACCTCATCAGAAGCAGTTCAGTACAGGTCTTCCAGCTGCTCTGTGCTGAACACCATGTGTTACCTTACATTGGCATAGGGACCCTGATTCATACTTGACTCAGATGAGGAATATATGAAATTTATCTGGAAAAAGTGACAGCAGCACTCTTTAATTAAGCATGTACCTTTTGTGATTCATTTATACACCCTGTCCCCAGGCTCATGTGTTTGTCTCATCATCTGCTCAAGGAAGAATGCAATGTTGTAGAGTCAAATGGCTTTGTTCCAACATGGATTAAAATACGTAAGAGTATAATTCACAGTTCAAGAAAACCAGATCAGAATGAAACTGTGTTTGTTTAGTATTGCCTTGGGCATTTGTACTCAAGCAATGACAAGTTTCAAGGCGCTTTTTTTACCGTAATTACTGTGTTACTGCCCAAAAGCAAGAATTTAGCACGCTGTTACCGCTGTCTTAAATATACTAATTTTCCTGGGAAAGAATGAGTTTAACTGTTACATTAAAAGCTACTGCTGGTTCAATTTAATTTTAAAATGTTACAAAATATTTTGCTATTTTAAGTTAACAATGACAGCACGAAGTGTGTTTGAACAGCATTCATACTTAAAATAATTTTAAATTACCTCTTTTTAGAGTTTGAACACGTTTGCTCTTTCTAGCTTAATTTCTACTCCACTTGTATTTAATGCATCATATTGGTAGCCAAGCTGGTGTAGTCCTTGTAAAACAAACTGGCTCTGTTTGCCTAATAGCAGGTATTGTACCTTTACCCTACAGGTTACTAGTTAAATTCAGATTGGTATTACTAGAAACTGTATTTGTATTTTGCATAGACAAAGGTGAAATTGAATGTTTCTTTCTAATTCTTGGGGAAGAATTCAAATGCCAGCTCTCCCAACAGCTATTTACAAATTGCAGGTGTAGCTATAGATACGGAAAGACTTCCTTTTTTTCCCTATTAGGTGGTTTACTCAGCATTAAACTTTTATGGTAGAGGTGCAGTAGGGGAAGGTTGTTTAGACCATGCTGAACCTGTTTGACAATACAGGACTTTAGATACAAGCACCAGACTTCTTCATAAAAGATATTTTAAAAAGAGAAGTGGAGAGCTCTATGTTTTCCCATCAATTAAATTCTTATCCAGTATAAATCTGTATTACTTAGTCCATTTATTTAAGCATTCTCTATTTGAAATCTCTTTTCTGGAACTGATAGGCGAAAGAGAATTTGTAGTGCTGTACTTGGTGTCTTCTGTTAGATTTTTTGCTACTTGGAGCTTTAACGATATCTGACTTTTACTGCAAGCTTCAAAATTGGTATACGTGTTTTATCAGACTAGTTCTTCAGAGAACATTGTGTACGATCTTTTGGGTGTGATACACCTTATTAGGGAAAGGCAATAATCTTTTCTGGAGTGATACAGTACACTTAAACCATATACTTTACTATGTCTTCTCCTTTTTTTTCATTATTTCTTTATTATTTTATTAAAAAGCGGTAACATGTATTAGTAGCATGTGTTATGTTTAATGAGATCAAAAATGGAGCCGCTGAAATTACCTGGCAAAGAAATTTGCTGGTTGTGCTATGTTTTGTTGCCTTGAACGTGGAAATAATGTACCTGTTCATGTATTTACAAGGCAGGGAAAATGTACACTCAGCTGTGCGTACCAGAACTGCACGGTGTGACACTCAGCCAGTCTCTGCAGGTGTCAGTGCTGTTTGTTTTTGAGGAAACCTGGCTAGGGCTCTGGTGGCTGCCACCTTGGGCCCACAACTCATCCTGTTGCAAACACCCTTTCCTGTCTTGGGACAGCACATTGCAGGGGGGAGGCGATGGATTGCTCTCCTGCCTGCTGAAACAACGGAGTTCTGTCGTTTTGTTAACATAATTTGTCTTCATAAAGTGATAATAAAGATTACTTCTGGTTTTTGCTCAGAGCTGATGTGAAGTCGTCTTGGTGAAGGTGCTGGGCATCTGCTCTTTATTATTGAGGTTTTGGGAGGACTTGCCATACCTCATAGGAAAGCTGGACGTGCTTGTTCCTCCCCAGGATGTGCTAGATCCCATACCCAGTGTAGACAGGCAGGTGCTTAACAGCTCTGTGTGGTGTAGTCAAGGAATTTCTAGAATACATGGTAGGAGGAAGCAGAATAAACAAGCTGTCAATTAGTGGCTGAGAAAAATACTCTCTGTGAGCAGTCTGCAATTTTAACTCTGATTAGTAAAATCATAGTGGTTGCCGTTTTAACTTGAGAATGCAAAAAGAAGCCTTTAAAATGTAGGCGGGGGAAGGAATGGGTTGGGATAGGTCTGAATCCAAGCTGATTTTACAGAGTTGTTTTGTATTCAGAGTTAACTAATAGAAAGGTGGATTCTGCTTCTTGAAGAATTTGATTGTAAATTGTACAGAAGTAGCTTGAACGGACGTTATTTAGGTTCAGACAGAGTTGTTCTCTGCGGTGAGGAAGTACCGCTTCCCTTTGAGCGCCGCTGACTTGGGTCCCTGGTGGGAGTGTGCAGCACTTCCCACCGCCCACTAGGAAGGGCAGCCTGGTCATGCCTGGGGAATAGGGACAAGGAGAACAGAAAGGGTGCAGAAATGGCACTTTCACGTACTCTTGCACCACGTAAGTTCACTCCGCTGCTTCTGAACTGCCTCAGTCTGCTGTGCACTGTGGGCTTGGGCCTTCTGGTTGATTCGTTACAGAAGTAGAGGGAGATAGGATCAAAGTAATGATGGATCTCTGGTGCATCATTTAGCATGAAGGAAAGCAGCCGATGAGGCCTGTAATTATTTTGTTGGACAGCCATTTCTTATACTGCTTTCCTTTAAAGTCTTTAAATAGCTTAGTATTGTGAAATCTCAAGCAGAATACAGAAATGACTCCAGTTTGCCTTTTATTGCGGATGTTAACAGTTAGTCTTAAAACAAAATCAGTATTTATAAGGAGCAGAAATATTACCACATCTTTTAATCCTGTGTTACTAAACTGTAGCTTATAATTTCCTGTTCATTAAAATACGGTGCCTATAAGTCGAATTGCTGTTGCAGCTCTGTTGTGAAATAGTTTTTAGTGATGGACTTTTTGAATCCCTCTTCTTCCCATCCTCCTTCTGAGTGTCCTTTTCTTCTCCCTCCCTCTTTGGTTTTCACATTGCCCCTCACTTAAAGAGGGAAAGACGAATAGGAGGAGAACAGGCCAAGGTGACTTTGTAACTTTACGCTCCTTGAAGGTGGGCTCCATTGGGAGTGTGCTGGTGGTGCTTTTCAGTTGTGCTGCGGGAGGTTGCTACGGAGCAGCATGCAGCATCCGACTGTTTGCTCTTGCACGTTTAGCACGCTGTCATCTCATCTGCAGAGACCAGAGACTGGAGGCAAGAATTCTTCCTCCCCCCATCCTCCCCCTCCAGGCTCTCAGAAGTTGTTAGGCTTTTGTTTAGGTCATAAACTAAAACTAACTGTCCTTTTTGCTGTGAATTTTTCCAAGGTGAATTGGAAAGTTATCCTATAGACAAATTGACAAAATAGAGTGCTCTCTTGGGAGATCAGATTGCCTAGCCTCTCCTTAAATGTCTTTTAATTTTGCTTTTGAGTCTATGCTATCTTCATACTGCTTTGTTCTATATGCAATATGGGACATCTTTTGTGACATGTGTAATAGATTTCATTACCTTACCTTCAGATACCTTCCTTTAAATAGTCTTCTGCAACATTTTTGCCATTTTCTAAATGTTATTTCTGAACCGTGGATAGTTTCAAGCAGCACTGTGTTACAAATATTGTTCAAACACTGCCTATCAACTACAATAGTACTGCTGCTTTGAAAAGAAAACCCAAAAGGATGGAGTGGAACAGCACAATTGAAGATTATTTGACTATCTGATTGCGACACTGCTAAAGTTTTCCTTGGTAGTTATAAAGAGTAGCTGGATAATTGGGCATGCGTGTGATGGACCAATATTCTCTTGGGCCTCAGTACTGTCTGTTTTAAAACCCTTTAGGCATCTTGTTTAATGTTCTCAGGCTCCTGAACCAGCTCATTATCTTAAACATACTCACCCCAAGAGCTCTGATGTCACTTAAAATTTACACAGGGTTTTATAACAATTGGATAATAATATGCACATATGCTTTGCACAGATTGCTAATAGAGTTGCTGCATTTGTAGAAGGTGGTACCTGTACCAAAATGGACGAGTTGAGTGTATTTTCTTCATGATTCAGATTGGCGTTTGGGATGTGGCTGTCTGCTAAGCAATTTGGGGGCTTTTCTCTTTCATGCTTGTGAACATTTTTGTAACTGGGAGATTGTTTGGTCTATTCCCCCTGCAAGAAGCTAGTGAAGCTCCACTTCAATTGTAAGTCAACCCATTTGTCAGGGGACCTCCTAATTGGTCTCTGCTGGTGAGCAGTCTTCTATTGTGTGATGGCTGATTAGTTGCTGGTTCACCAGACAGCCTAGTTCTCCTGGGCTGTAGCTGGCTTTGTCTGGAGGATGCCTCCATATGGCTAGAGAATTGGTCAGTTTTAGTCTGTTGTTTAGCCAGTGCTTTTAAAACATTGTTCCCAGAGACAGGGGATGCTTGTTGTGGTACCAGTACTGACTTGTGACAGTGTTACAAGGCCGTGTCCAAGATAGAAAGATTTTTAGTCTCTGAGAAAAGGTAGATGTCTAAGGCAGTGATTCTCCATGTGCTGAAGCAGTCTCTGCTTTGCACTTTTCAAACTATTTTGAATACCTGAATATTTCATAGAATCACATCATACCATCATAGAATGGTTTGGGTTGGAAGGGACCTTAAAGACCATCTAGTTCCAGCCCCCCTACCATGGGCAGGGACACCTCCCACTAGACCAGGTTGCTCCAAGTGCCATCCAGCCTGGCCTTGAACACTGCCAGGGAGGGGGCAGTCACAGCTTCTCTGGGCAACCTGTTCCAGTGTCTCACCACCCTCACAGGAAAGAATTTCTAACCAAAATCCCCCCTCTTTCAGTTTGAAACTGTTACCCCTCGCCCTATCACTACCCACCCTGATCAAGCGTCCCTCCCCACCTTTCCTGTAGCCTCCCTTAAGTACTGGAAGGGCACTAGAAGGTCTCCCCGGAGCCTTCTCTTCTCCAGACTGAACAACCCCAACTCTCTCAGCCTGTGCTCACAGGGGAGGTGTAGCTGTTTTTGAGATTATCCCAACGCAAGTGCAGGACCTTGTACTTGGCCTTGTTGAACCTCATGAGGTTTGCACAGGCCCACTTCTCCAGCCTGTCCAGGTCCCTCTGGATGGCATTCCTTCCCTCCAGTGTGTCAACCACACCACACAGCTTGGTGTTGTCAGCAAACTTGCTGAGGGTGCATTCGATCCCACTGTCCGTGTTGCCGACAAAGCTGTTAACACAAAGCTGTGTTACAGCACTGGACCCAGTACCAACCCTTGAGGAACGCCACTCATCACTGATCTCCACTCGGACATTGAACTGTTGACCATGACTCTTTGAGTGTGACCAGCCAATTCCTGAGCCATGGAGTGGTCCGTCTGTCAAATTCATGTCTCTCCAATTTAGAGAGATGTTGCGTGGGACAGTGTCAAATGCTTTGCACAAGTCCAGGCAGTTGACGTTAGTTGCTCTTCACTTATCCACCAATGCTGTTACCCCATCATAGAAGGTCACCAAATTTGTCAGGTACGATTTGTCCTTAGTGAAGCCATGTTGGCTGTCACCAACTGAATTTTCCTGGAACTTGGTCCTAGTACTAGATGAGATAAAACACTGTAGAGACCCTTTTTTTTTTTTTTTTTCTTCCAAATATGTACCTTTAATAAATACATTGCCCTGTTTGGAGCAGGGCAATAGGGTAGCTGATCTCCTGTGGTCATTTCCAACTTAAATTATTCTGATATTTTAAAAATTGGATGTGAAATTCTGCAGAACATAAATTAAACTCTTTAGCAAATCCCCTTTTTTGTGTTTTATTGTATCTACATTTGGAATATGTGTTAAAGCTGTTCTACTGTTTTGGATTTATAGATCACTTTCAACACTGGGCTTGGTTATATCATCACTGGCTGACCAAGCAGCAGGGAAAGGGAAAAACAAGTTTGTGCCTTACAGAGACTCTGTACTCACTTGGCTTCTCAAGGTAACTAGTATTTTTCAGTTCACCTTGTTCACAAGATGTCAGCTTCAGCTTAATAGCTTGTAGGATCATTGTAGCATAGCTCTGTGGACTTCTCTTTTTTTTTATTATTTTTTTTTAATATTTTTAAAGAAATGAGCTAAAGAGCTTTCATAGCTATAAGATGTTTCAAGTAATATGAACAGCTGAGTGTATCTTGCGTTAATTCTTTGTAAAGTCCTGTTTGGCTGTTTTCAGTTATAGTGGAATCAAAGCTGGTGGAGGTGGCTGGAAATGTTTAGGGATCATACTGATTAGTTTATATCCAGAGTACTTTTCAGTGTCTAAATAGTAAGCTTTGTATTCTAAGTATTTTTGTAAAGACATTGTATAGTCTTGGAACAATTTTTAATTATGAAACTTTCTGTGCATGCGCTCTGCAGGACAACCTGGGAGGAAACAGCCAAACTGCCATGATAGCCACAATTAGTCCAGCAGCAGACAACTATGAAGAAACGCTTTCTACACTGAGATACGCAGACAGAGCCAAAAGGATAGTTAATCATGCTGTGGTGAATGAAGATCCAAATGCTAGGGTCATCAGAGAATTACGGGAAGAAGTTGAAAAACTGAAAGAGCAGCTCTCTCAAGCTGAGGTAACATTATTCACAGCACAATGTAAGCGGAGTTAAGTGTTACAAGACAAGGAAAGGAAAAGTCTTGCACTCTTTTTTAATAATTAACCTTGTTTCCTGAAATAAATCCAACGTAATGTTTGCTTATTTTTAATAACTTTTTAATGACAACGTTGTACGGATGGTGTCTCTTGTCAGAATAGACTGTTCTTGAAGAACTTCATGTCAAGCATTAACTGATGCAGCACAGATAAGAGCTAGAGTAGAACTTCATTCTGTAGACTTATTAGCAAAATTTTTTAAAATATAATTTTATGACATCAAATGGAAAAGTGTGAAAAGCTATAAATCTGGTATTGAACCACAAAATATGTGGGACGTTTCTCTTGATATTTTTGAAAATGTATTAAAAATTGTCAAAACTGCAACACCGAAATTATCAGGAATTTGCTTTTACTGCCCTAACAGTTGACACTGTGTGATTGTTGCTTATCTTAGATTTATACTTCTAACTGGAGGGTAAAGTGTCCAGGTAAGATACTTTGGGATATCTGGAGGAACTAGGCACTGCACTATAGGAAAATATTTTTCATCTTTTCAGGCAAGACACAAAATACTGGTGGAAGAAGAACAGAACAGAAGCATGTCTGAGGGTGAATCTGTGTGGTGTTTAAACTTCATGTTCACTTAAGGAATAGTGTGCCTTGTATGAAGAGTTCCTTACAGGCTGACATGGGAGAATATGCCTTAAGAAAAAAGGAGCCATTCACTTTATTCATGAAAAACCTGGGGACATAGTTGAAATATCTAGTTGTTGCATTTCATATTATGCTGCTGTGTTGAGTTGCCTTGTGTAGGCAGATGTTGCAGTGGGAAGAGTAGCTGAAGGTTTTTGCTAATTTCTATCTTTTAGGCCATGAAGGCACCAGAACTGAAGGAAAAATTGGAAGAATCTGAAAAACTAATAAAAGAGCTAACAGTCACCTGGGAAGAAAAGCTAAGGAAAACAGAAGAAATTGCACAGGTATTTCAGAAATTTCGAGGAGGAAAAGCCAGATACTCATATAGTGCAAGTCAACTGAATTTCATGAGCTTTAGTGGACTGTGCTGTCTTCCCCACCACCTGTTTAAAATTCTTCTGGATTTTTGTCTTTTCCCCTTGTCTCTGGTTTTGGTTTGGGTTTTTTCGGTTGGTTGGGGGTTTTTGGTTTGTTTTAGTCTACATTTTGTTAGAATAAATGTAGCTGTGTCATGGTATCATTGATAAAAGCTAATATTTGATTTTAGAATAAAGCATCAAAATATGTTGGGACAGCTTATTTATTTGTAAGACCACAGTGGGATCTTGGACGTGTGTCCTTTGAAGTGACTAAGAAAATAAAGAATTACAAAAGGATCACAATTTTGGGTGGTATTTATTGGTTTTGCCTTTAGTAACTTCTTAACCAGAGAAGGAAATGTGTACATGTATTCACTAGTGTTTGTTTGTCATTACTTAAAATAAGACTTCTGGATTCCAGTGTCCTTTTCCATCATTTCCACCATCTATAGCTTGAAGAATGAGTATCATTGTTTTCTGTTTCTACTCCTAATATTCCAGAAGCATGCTTTGGTGCAACAACTGTTTAAATAGCAGGGTGAGGAAAACCCAAACCAAACTCAACCAGCCAAACGAAACACCCCAACCCTCCATACTGTAGCAAAGCAAGACATGTGTGATCCAGTAGATACTTTAGCTGAATTAATAGTAATACTGCAAAAGAATACACCTAAACTGTGGCATGCTTTTTTCTCTCTTTGGAGTAATTGCAGCTGAGACTAGTTTTTAAGAACATAGAGGTTCAAAGCCACATTGTGGTACTTATGAGTAGCTCTAATAAAATCCATAGGGCTGCTTAGGTAAGTAAGTGCCGCTTTGGGGATCCAGGTGTTTGAGGATTAGATCTAACTGCTTATTGGTGGTGTGTAACAAATAAATTCTGTTGAACATATGGTACTTGACCAGTGTCTTAAGTTCCGTTTCTGCTAATGCTATACAGAGCGCATGTTCAGCGTGTACATCTTCAGCTTTAGTTGCTCTGGTTTCAGTTACTTGTGTACTTGTCTCTACATATTGCAGCAGGCAAGATTAACCTATTTTCTGTGCTTGTAGGAGAGGCAAAGACAGCTAGAGAGCATGGGAATTTCCCTTGAGTCTTCAGGTATCAAGGTTGGGGATGACAAGTGTTACCTGGTGAACCTGAATGCAGACCCTGCACTCAATGAGCTTTTGGTTTACTATTTAAAGGTAAGAATGTGAACAGGTTTTTGGACAGAATGAAAGGACACTTGTTTGTTCTTTTGAATTGCTGTCTCAACTTGTTATTCAGAATGTGTTTAGATTTTTAAGACTAGTTGCAGCAAGATAGGATAGACTGCCTACTGTTTAGGCTTTTGTTCTCCCTTTGCAGTTCAGCTTCGTTGTTTTCCTAATTGATCTCCTGATTGCCAACAGTGGGAGAAGTGCTCAATGTGTGCCAGTGTTGAGATAAAATCTTGCTTTCCAGACAGGATGTGGAATTGTCTTTTGGGCTGAATTTGAAGTGAGAGCCTCCTGTTAGGTGCTTCTTTTTATTAGTGAACTGGGGATTGCTTTAAATATTCAGTGAGTCAATCATAAAGAGATGATGTTTAGTAGTGAGCAGTAAGAGTAAACATACTCTTCAATGACAGAAAAGCTCAAGAGAAAGGAGAGGGGGAAAAAGTGCTGTTAAAAATGTACAGAAATGTTTTTTCCTAGTGCCACTAGCTTCCATACCATTCTGTTTAGCATAGCCTCATGTCAGAGTGAAATAATGTCAAATACAAACCTGATAAGTTTGTAAGGAAATGCAAGCTGCTTGTCAGTAAGATAGGAAAGACTATCCTGTCTATTTTTGTAGTTACTTTTCTGCTTTAGTGGTTGAGATAGGGCTGCTGTATTTGAGCAGTAGCAAAGCACAACTTCTCTAGTAACAGCAAAGTATTTCAGCAGAATTGACACTATAACTTGAAATTATGCAGAGTTGCTATATAGCTGTCTTCTGAAAAGCAGCCAACTCCGCATCTCATTTACTGTCCATGTTGTTCTGTTACATGTGCCTATATGACATGTCTGGTTTTCTTCGCTATTTGCATTTATTGCTTGTATACAAGCCTAGTCTGCAAATATTTTTAAATCAGACATTGTGTGTCAGCTGCTTTATTTTGCTTTATCTGAAACTGTATGAAGATAAAGTGCAGAGCAGAAGAACAGTTTTGTGTGTGACCTTCGCAGTCGTCAAATCTGCTGTGGCACCATTTCTGCTGTACAGAAGTGCTTAGCAAAGGAGAGCATGTTGATTGTGCAGTCTCAGTGCCTTAGCTAATATTTTCTTAGTCATACAAACAGCGATAGTTTGCTTGTCTCTTAGTAACAGCTTATTTTCTAGGATCACACAAGAGTTGGTGCAGATACATCTCAGGATATACAGCTGTTCGGTATAGGAATCCAACCAGAACACTGTGAGATTGATATTGCTTTAGATGGAGAAGTTACACTTACACCAAAAGAAAATGCAAGGTAAGGAAGATCAGCAGCACTTCCCACTGAAGTGTTTGCTTTTCTTCTACAAGAAGATAACTTGCATGCATCTTTATTTTACATTGTCAGGAGTATCTTATGCTCTGATCAATGAGTAGCTTCAATATAGATGACTTAAGCAGGTTCTTAGAAGTGAAATTCAGAGATAAAACTGAGATTTCCCCATGTGTGCACCCACCCACCCGCCCACTCTGCAGCATTACAGACTATCAGTGGTTTGGCTCAGAATAAAGTATCACAAGAAGGTATTTGGTAGGAATGAGGGACCATTTCGCATCTGTGTCTTGAGTGGTAACAGGATCATTGAGATGCTGCTGGCTATCCTGACCCCTGCGATGGGGTAGTAGACTGTGTCTTGATGGGGGAGGATAAATCATGAGTAGTTCCCATTGTAAAGCTCCAGTATTTTGTGAGAGCAAGGTGTTTTGAAGATCTGAAGATCTTTAAATTCTTTTCTACATCTTTAATTACTGTTGCGTCTAGTAAATACACAGTGCAAAGTCACGTTTCTCCTTTTGTTTCTACTTCCACATTGTAATTGTTTTTCCTTTTGGGGGCACTCTGTCTTCTTGGGTGGAATTATAAATGTCCTTGTCACTTTATCTCCAATGGCCTGTGATAAGTAATACCTTTGTCCTAGTTAATAGTCATGCTGCTTATCTGAAATCTGAATATCTAAATAATGTATAGATTAGTACTAGAACGAGAAGCAAAAGTTTGAGACACCTTTTAAAAAAAAATCTGATCTCTTTCATTCTGCCTTCAGTAAGATACCTCTGAGCATTTGCATTTTTCTTCTGCAGCCTACAGTACAAAATTTCAAACAGATGACTCAGACTTGTGGTGATTGAGTCACGGTGCTGGAAATCAGTCATTTTGACTGGCAAGACCAAAGGCACATGTTAGTGGAAGAACCATATTTTGTTTTACTCATTTCTGATCTACAATCCTTAAGTAGCTATTCTTAAGATACTAGTGTCAACAGAAATTTAGTTACTAGAATTTCATTTAAAAAAAATAAATAAAAATCTGGTTTTAAATCAAACACACGTTTGTGTTGACTTACTTAAGACAGCCAGCTGAATTTAAAACACTGTATCTGAAAAGGCTTTTTTCATTTTACTTAAGTTTTTTTTTTTCCCTTTCAAATAAAATGTTCTGCTTTAACTTGCATATGCGAAAGTTCAACAGCTTCATTTTTCCCATTTGATTGAAACTTAAATACAAAGAAACCTAAATGCAAATCTAGTAGTATACCAGATGTTCATAAAAATAGACGCTTCTTGATAATAGAGACTCCATTTGTTGAAAGAATGAAACTTGGATCTAAGGGTCATTTCTTACACTTGAATGCCAAGTATGTCAACAGTATGTTTTACAAGTCTGTGTTGACTAACTTGTATCTTGAGAGCTTTATCGGTAGGATTTTCATGCATCCGAGTTTACAGACTATTTATAAGAAACAGGCAGTGGCTCACTTTGAGAAATGGGCATTTAAAGAAAACTGCAAATAAAGCAACCTTGTCTGTGTGTTTACTGAAGAGTTGTACCAGCCAAAGCTAGAGGGGAATCACAGAATCCCCAGAGCCTTCTCTTCTCCAGGCTGAACAACCCCAATTCTCTCAGCCTGTCCTCACAGGGGAGGTGCTCCAGCCCCCGATCATGGACCCACTCAAGCAGGTCCATGTCTTTCTTGTGATGGGGGCCACAGAGCTGGATGCAGCACTGCAGGTGAGGTCTCACCAGAGCAGAGTAGTGGGGGAGAATCACCTCCCTTGACCTTCTGGCCACGCTGCTTGTGATGCAGCCCAGGATGCGATTGGCTTTCTGGGCTGTGAGTGCACATTGCTGAGTCATGGTCAGTATTTTACCCACCAGCACCCCCAAGTCCTTCTCCGCAGGGCTGCTCTTGATCCGCTCATCACCCAGCTTGTGTCTGTGCTAGGAAAGGTGCTTTGTGCTTAATTCTGACGGTAGGAATCAGACCAGTACCTTTCGGTTCATTCTTGCACAAACCTTGAGGTTCTCATTAATCATGTGGTACAAATCATTGTCTGTAGATGGGAGAAAAAGTAGATCTGTTTGACCTTTTAATTTTAGGATTTCAGTGAAATTGTTTTTTCTTTCAGATCCTGTGTAAATGGTGCACTGGTATGTTCTACCACTCAGTTATGGCATGGAGATAGAATATTATGGGGAAACAACCACTTTTTTAGGTAATAGTTGATATTTACATTCCAGCCTCTCTACGTTCAGCCTATCTTTTCTTTTTTCTTTCACTGTTCTGCATAAAGTTTTTGGAAACTGAAGTTCAATTTTTACACAGAATCAATTTACCAAAGAGGAAACGACGTGATTTGCTAAAAGACCTTGAGAAGGAAACTTTGTTAGGAGAGCATGATCTGGATGCAGCTAGTGAAGCTTCTTCAGAACCAGACTACAACTACGAGTTTGCACAAATGGAGGTTATTATGAAGACACTGAATAGTAATGGTAAGGCAGCTGCCAGATAAAAAATGGTTTTTTGGATTTTCTAACAAATGCAGCATGGAACTTAATTTCTGGGTAAAACAAGTGGTACACTTGCTCTGGGGGCCTTTGGAGTGTTTTCAAGAAGAGGCATTTTACAGAAACAATCTTAGGCATATGTATATACACACACACACATATATATACACATATCAAATTATTTATATATGTGTGTGTATTTATAAAAAATCAAATTATTTTTATATATACACACGCAGACAGACACGTGAGTAGTTGGTTTGTGTCCTCGTACGTTTTATCTGTACATTTGCTGTCCTTTGTAGAGCAGCTGAGTTGTAATCATATGCCTGTCAAATCATCACTGAAGTCCTACTAACCTCTTGCTTTTGCAAGTTACTGCAGGCAAAAGGGTGCTCCAGATATGGCTCAGTTAGTGTCATCCTTTCTTTTGTGTCAAATATTACTGACACCATTTTAACCTCAGTAGAAGAACACTGAAATGATGCAAACACTGAAACTGAACAAAAGGCAAATGTCAGCTAGTGTGGTTTTTAACACTTGATCACTCTTCAATATTTTATTTAATCTTTGTAAAAACCTATTGTGATGCCTTTTTTGGACAGTATAATAAAATACAGTATATGTAAAATACAGTATATGTAAAATAATGGTATGGTATATTTAAAACAGTATGGTGTTTTCGTGATTTCCAGAAGGCAAGTCATAGTTTATGTGATCTAATACAGTATGAAGAAACGCTGAAAAACTTGGTGAACTACTGAATGCTTTGTACGGGGTTTTTAATACACAAAACTTGAGAGGCAGATACCTTTGGGTTTGGTCGCTGACCAAGACAACACAATAGATGGCATTTCATTGCTTTCTTCATATCTTTGCAGTATTTCCACTGTTTGCTGTGGTTTACTTGTTGAAATACAGTATTTACTTTTTTCTTCATCTCCTCTTTAACTTCTTCTGGTTTGCCATTGAGTACAGCATGATGGTTTTCTTGATGCTTGATGTTCCAGCAATAGTTGGAAGGCATTTTAATGGGATTGCTTGTGTGAATGAGTTACAGGGTCTGGCCATTTAAATTGGTGGGAAGTTACTGTTTGATAACAGAAATATTCTCATTATGGTTCACTCATGCCAGGGGACGAATTTCAGATGAATCTACCATCCTGGTGGTGTTCAGCATTGTCATCCCTCATGAAGATTCTGGTGCCTGTTTTAAGGCCTCAAACCATCCTGTATCTGTGCCAAAACTGGAACAAAGGTTTTGAACTTGATTGGCTCATGCATGAGGCTGCTGGAGAAATTCGAAAACATTAATTGATGCTTAATCTGCTTGTCACTAACTGGGGATTTGACTAAACGGTAGCAGTCTAAAATGAGGCAGTGTTCTTTGAACGGGGTGTGACATTTTTTTGTTTTCATATGTTTTTGTCTAGCAGGTTGAAATGATTCTTCACAATATTTCAAGTGTCTTTACATTTTAGTTCAGTAGGCTTTTTTTGATTGTGGTCCAGGCCAGTTTTTGTCTTGGTTGTTTTCTGTGTCTTTGCTCCAGAACAGTCCTGAGCTTTCTGTCTCATTAGAGCTCTTTCCTCCCTAGTGCACAGCAAATGTTAGCAGTTGGACATGGCGCACAGTTTTGGAGGCCTCGTAACCCAATTATTCTGCTTCTTGTCTCTTCTGCTCCCTCCCACATAGGGTCGCTTAACTAAGTTGGAGTAGTAAGTGGTAATAAAACAAGTGACTGTGAGGATCATAGGCTGGTCTTTTGATTCGAAGCTAGATAGCGCTTCCAGGTTCTGTTCTTCTCAATGGTGTAGCTAAATTACGTTTTTTCTGACAAGCTTCTCGTTTGGGTGAGAAGTGAAGCAGCTTTGTTACAATACCACTTATTTATTCTTCCTTAAAATGAAAAATAAATGTGGGTAAGGAAGAAGAAATAACTAAGTAACTGAAGACGGTTAATTCTATTATCCATGTTCTCTGGAGAAGCCTAGGGGGGCAATAAAGAGGTATTTATAAAGTCTGATTAGATAACTGTATTGGTATGTATTGATACAGCCCAAAGCAAGCAAGAGGTTTGGGTTTTCCTTTGTTTTGGATTCCCCCGCAAATCTCAGATCTATCTGAGAACAGTAACACTCTTTAAATAAAGACCCTAGCTTCTCCAGGGCATGAACACATTTGTTTTTATGGCATGTAACCAGTACAACAGTGTCACGTATGGCATCTGGCTCCAAAGAAGCTCCGAGGAAAAATGTGTAACTTTGAAAACAGCTGTAAAGAAAACATCTAGATTCTTTCCTGCCTTCAGGATGTTAACTTTCTTCGTGGATTTCTGTCAGATCAGCTTTGCACTGCTAATTTGTGATGCTGGTCAAACACAGAGTGCAGCAGAGGAGTTTATTTTATTCTTGTATACTGTGCAGTGGTTAAGTAAACAGTGTGATTAGGTTACCAGCTTCTCATTTAAGCAAACAAAACTGTTACAGCTCAGGGTGGGTATTTTGATGACGCTTAGCAAAGCTGCCTGTGTCATAACCTTCTTGTAGCTTGCTTAGAAAAACTCACTTACATGAAATCTTAAGGAATTTATTCAGCATTGTTGTTACTGGATTAAGAGATTCCAGATGTGAATTAAGTGGCATTGCAGCAAGGTAGTAGATGCTGTTTGTCCTGTGGAGAAAGTACATTCTTCTGGTTCAGTGTTAATATTCTAACGCTTTGCAGAGGATTAACTGCATACGAATTGTCTTTTCAGGGCCATTATCTTGTCACATAAATATGTAATGGTTTGGGACTTGGGACTTCTAATACTGCATGGAATTTGCTGTGTGTTTGGCAGACCTTGGGTAGATCTTCTCTAATCTATTTGATGTTGCGTGAGGAATCCAAAGTTGTGGAACATGGTGTTTAAATTTAACTTAAACACTATTGTAGTTCTTTTGAATTGTAAAAAAACTTGGCTGTTTATTTTTTCATCTTCTAACAAGAAGGTTTATAATTCACACCGTATTTTGCTTTTTCACTGTGAAGGGCTTGGGGTTTTCTGTGTAAACTGTGTCAAAAGTTAAACTGAAGACTTTTCTAAAAGTGCAAATTTACCTTTTTATTTCAGTACAAGCACAATCCACCTTTTCTTTTTTCCCCCCAAACAGTAGTGAATTTTGTTGAAATTGGGAAGATCATGATGATGCAGATCAACATTAATAACTTGGTTTGTAGTCTAGAATGTTAGAACTTGGGTCAGTCAATTGTTTTTGTTGCACTGTTTAAAAGCTAAAAATACCTAACTGTCTCTGAGAATGTCGTGTGCTAAAAAGTAGTGTTTCTAGTTATTTTAAGACACTCTAATGCATCACTGTTTTGCTATTTCATTGCTATTTATAGTGACTGATTTTTAACTTTGTGCTTTATAATTACCATTGTGGTGGTATTTTTGATGCCTTTGTGTGAAGCCAGTGACTTCTTACATGGGTAAGGCTGGGGCCACAGTAGCAACTTGCAGAAGTGGGTTTTTTTCTGCTAAAAAGAAAGATGTGCTTTACATCAATCCTAATCTTTCAAAAAAGGATACTGAGAGGCAAATGCAAACCCACTGTAACAACAGAACCCTGAAGATCCTTCTGGCATTTATAATAGGAAGGATTTGTGTGATGAAGTGACTTGCCTCAATGGCCACATATGTTAAAATCACAGATGGCGAGTTAGTTTATCTTGAGCAAAATTTGGCTCAGTAGTTTTAGTACTAAGTTGTTACAGGTTACTAAATACAGGAATGCTCATTGGTTTGTGAAGATCCAGGGGATGTGACTTTTGGGAGAGTGTATGCATGTGTTATGGTGACCAACATATACTAGTAGTGATGAAAACCCCACAGAACGTTTCATGTGAGCCCTCTGTTGCATGTTGTACAGTAATCCAATTTTTGTTTCATGTAACGTTGTAGTATCGTGAAAACTTGTACAAAATCTTATGAGGAATGGGGTTTTGGTAGTGAAGGCAAGATGGTTCATAACTACGTCACACTGACTGTTTTTTGGGGTTCTTTTTTTGAGAAGCACACCTTTATTCCAAAGTGCAACAGTGTAATTAAATCTAGGTTAATTTTTCTCCCTCCTTTGTGACAGACTGGCATCCTTAAAAGTCACAGCAGCGCTTTTTTTTTTTTCATATTTGCAAATTGGAAGAAGTATCAGAAACAAATATTTTAAAGCTGAAGTTTTTTGCATTTGAAAATCCAGCATGTCCTGGAGCTGCAATGCTGCTTCCCCTAATAATCCCTCACTCCGACTATGGAACTCTTCCTCTTCTTTTGTACAGAGTCAGCAATCTGTTAGGTGATGTGCTGTCACTCAGATATTTATCTGGACTGGTCCTCTTGCAAACCACTTTTGCTGTATTTAAGCTTTCATACATACATACATATATATATTATATATGTATGTATGAAGCAGATATATACCCGTAGGCTATAGGAGGAGCTTATTCCATTGAATTGCTCTGTCAGAGGCACAGTCTGGCATTGGACCTAAACCCAGGAAGAGTCGGAGTAATGTTTTTTTAAATTGACTGCAATTTGGATTTAACCGTAGCTGATTGACACCAGCAGTTGTTTCAGGATAGAGTATCCAAATGGATATTTGTTCTGGGTTGATACTGAGGTGAAGTGTGATTTGTAAAGCTAAATGCAGAAGTCCCCTCCAGAACATACTTTGTCTGCTTCAGTGCTGTGAAATGCGTTGGTGCAACATGTTGCGTGACTCCTCAGACAGTTTGTTTATCTCAAGGTTTCATCTGTAGCTCTCAGTTTCATTCTCTGCCGAAACGGAGAAAGTAAATTGCTTTTTACTTCCTTAAGTAATTTCCTTCTCTGGTTAACATCGTCTTCCCTTGTATTTTGCTTTGTTTTCATCTTATTGATTTGTTCCCTCTTCCGTCTATTCTTTTTTTCTTGCTGGGATTCTGGAATGTATTGTGACTTCACGTGCTGAAATATGGAATAGACAAGGGTCTGAACCATTGCTCTAGCCTCTTTGCATGCAGTATTTTTTTTTCTTGTTTGAATTTATCCATTTAATGCAATATTTATTATTTTGGCTTTCGTTTTGGGAGGCAACAGTCATCTTGTGTTTGCAAAGGCTCTGGTATATGTTGATTGCTGTTACCAAATAAATAACGAGTGTTCTGTAATGCTGACGTGGCATTTTCTCACTTGTCTGGAATTTTTCTCTTTAGACCCAGTACAAAATGTGGTCCAGATCTTGGAGAAGCAGTACTTGGAAGAGAAGCGGAGTGCTCTTGAGGAGCAGCGGCTGATGTATGAACGTGAGTTAGAGCTGCTGCGGCAGCAGCTCTCTCCAGAAAGGCAGCATCAGCATGGCAGTGACAGACTCTCCTACACTGCTCAGACTGCACAGCAGAAAGTAAATCTCTGGACAGAAGAGAGGTGAGAATACTGGAGTTAAAAGGAAGGAATTGATAAGAACTACAAAGGGTGAACGTCTATCAGAAACTGATATTTTCTTGTGGTGTTGTCGTGCAGTACAAGATCTGCCTCCACCAAGGTGTTAGCATTTCATTTAGGACTAGGTTCTGATGTGTAACGTGCGGACAAGACCTTCCTGTTTGATTTAACACACAGATGAAATAAGATTTAGCCTTTATTGATCAGCATTCTAACTTTTTTCCTCCACTAGAAAAGTGCTTCTGAAATGTTTGGTTTAGCACTTACTGTTTGTTACCTCTGGAAAGAAAGAAAAGGAAGCGTAGAGGTAAATTAGTCAGCTAAGACTAAGGAGTCCACTAAGGAGCATTGTCTGTTGAGAGTATGCAATAAAAGCACAGTATTCTGCAATCTGAAAACCATTAAAGACACAAAAACTGGGAGTCCTTGTGTTGAACATATGTGTTTCTAAAAGTAAGCCCAGCTTTAGAAGAGACTTGCTGGTATTTGTAAACGGCAGAATAGTCAAATATAGTATGTTTGAGCTCTTTAGGAAGTAAAAGGCTTGCCTACAGGTGAACAGGCCTCTCTGCAAAGGAATGGCACAGCACCTGGATGCAGCCTTGGTGAAAGACTGGCATGAGATTTGCAGGGAGAGTTAAAAAAAGTGGACTGGGAAAAGATGAGCAGAGTTTAAGCAGTATGTGTGTGTTTCTGTCTCGACAATGAGAGAAGCTTTCTCTTGGTGTTGCTGGGGGGAGAAGGACGCCAGCTCCACAGAGAGAAGTTCTAGGGACAGCAACCGAGATGATTTACGTTTTCTGCATACAAATGAGTGTACTATCATTGGGTTAATTCAGCATGGATGTATTAACAGGGTTCTTGTAAGTTGATTTTTAATCTGTTTTCTGTTAAAACAGAAGCTTTGTTATTCACTCAGAATTTCTTTCAAGACGTAGTGAGTTGTAGCACTCTTTCTTGTTTTGATTATTTCTGCTTTATTCTCTGCCATTTAAAAAAAAATTTAAAAATCCACATACAAGAGGAATGTAAACAAAGATAGCCAAGATTGTGTTGCAGCTTTCAAATTCAGAGTGTTGGAAACATAGTAGGACAGATCTTGGTTTAGTTTTTATGCAAGGTTTTGTTTTGTAATTTCTGCCCAGTTTGGCCTAAGAAAAAAAAAAACAACTAAACAAATGACCTGTTGACTAGACGGTTTTTCCATGGCAAGTATAGGGAGCAGTGGTGCTGTGTTTCAACTTAAATTAAAATAATAGTTTGCCCCTCAATGTGTTCTGCCAGCCTTCTCTTCTCAGTAGCTGTTAGACATTTCTTAGGAGGAGTTGTGCTTTGAACAAGCATTTTTGCCTCTGGATTTCATGGGTGAATGCTTGAGACCATAGAACTGTTGAACTATTTGAAGACTGTACTTTGCATTGTAAAAAAGAGGAGAACGAATGCTCTTTGTAGCAATCAGTAAGGAGTCTGATAATGTTTTAGTGACACTGCCATTGAATAAGCAGTTTTGTGGAAGAATTTACTTATCAGTTTCCTGTCCTCCATAAGATCCTCTGAGGTATACTTTCTGTTTATTTGTAGTTCTAGAAGAGGTTTGGGCTTCTGAAAAAAGTGCAAAAACAATTGGATCATCGTAAATAAGAAATCAGAAAAAAAATCTTTGAGGCATTGTAAAAGCAGATGTTGCGAGGGATTTTACCAGCCAACTGCCCAGAGGGCAAGAAATGCAGGAAAGAATGGGAAAACTGGATGTGAAGAGCATGCAAAAGAGCCAAGTGTCTGGATTGCACAGGATTTGATTAGTGCAGTTTTAGCTGTCACTGTTGCTATTGCAAATGAAGATGAGCTCTAGTGGATCAGCCAGCAGAATGAATTTGACAGGTATTGGATGTAGGCACGTGGCTGTATCTGTCCAATCAGCTGGAACACATTGCACAGTTTCTTTCAGCTTTACCTGACCGGGTGTTAAAACCTGTGGGCACAAAGTTAACCCCTTGCAACTTTGAACAAATTTAATTTGTTGGGGTGAGGCAGGGTGGTGGTGTGCTGGACCAGAGGTTTAGTTCAGCATATTCTGTGCATTAGGAATCCCAGAGATTTGCAGTGACACCTCATGAGTGTCAGATGTAAGTTTCCCTTGTTTTGCTTAAACAATTGTTTCAGGATTTCGTGTTTAGTGGGTATTTGCTTCAGTTAACATCCTAATGGAGCTTGTTACATGTTTGGTGTAGTAAGAATTAAGAAATCCTATCTGAAACATATTTTTTGTTTTGCTTAAGTTTCTGGAAGGATGCCGGCACAGCCCTATAAGGAAGAACACAATTGAAATGAGGACTACCCATAATAATTTGAGTTGCTCATGAGTCCTTTTTATAGTCTTAAACTATTTCTTTCTCAAGAATCTAGCGAAGAAAAGATTGCTGTAGGAGCCTCCCCAGGAAAGCTTGCCAGATGCTGGTTTTCCGAATCAAGGAAAGGACTGGCTGTAGCTGAAACCCATGGCTCTTGCATTTCCAGATCAAAGCTGCCTTGTGTTTCTCAGGCTAGGCAGGAGTCTCGTGGTGGTTGCAAGTGTAATGCAGTCTCAGTAGTAAGAACTATTTAGTGACTGATTCTTGACTCTGCCTTCATTTTCTGGGTGAATCAAAAATCACAGCTGTCTGTCACTCCCATGGTCTGAAATTGCTCATTTAATATTGATGGCCTTGGATAACAGAAGCAAGAGGGAAAGGAATTTCATATCTGCCAGGAGCAGATATGAAGGAAAAAAAATCCGCTGATAGTAGCAGCTATTTAAGATTCAGCAAACTCACCACTATTGCAAACTTAGTCCAGATAGAGGGGCAGAGACAAGGCTGTATGTTTTAGCGTGTTCAAGGCCCTAAAATTCAGGGCTGATTGCTAACACTGTTGGTCATTTACCACTTTGGTATGGTGTCAGGGAACCAGCAGAGTGCAATTTGAATTACCCAGGCTGTTGTTTGGGATATTTTGAAAGGAGATAGCCACTTAAGAAGAATTCTGTTGGGGACTAAAAGGCGTTTTAACAATTGGCTGTGGTTTGTACTGTAAAGACGTACGAAAGATCTAAGCTTCTCTGAGTAAAAGCAAATAGGCAAACTTTGCCTGTATTCACAGCAAGGCCCTTGAGTTTAGTTGTTCCACCTACACTTGTCCATAGCGTAACCTACTTTGTAGAAATAAGAAGCGTATGTGCACAACATGTACTGTATTTCAGTAGGACTTTGCATGGAAAAGCTAAAATTCATACAGTGAGTGCTGGTCACCGAGATATCTCAAAGTTTGATCATGAGTTTTATGAGGATGGCGAGACGCGGTGAGTGTTGTTGGGATTACAAAGAAGGGCAGAAAGGGGGACTTTGCATTTGCTCAAAGGATAGTCATCATACTTTTAAAAGGCAAACTAAAGATGAGAATCCCAGGTGAGAGCATATCTTAGTATCACCAGGTGGAGGTATAGTATGTGTCATAGCAGGTTTGCTCAGACAGGCCTTAGAAGCCATTTTGGAATTTGTCCAGAGACTGTTACGGCATGCGCAAGCTTTAACCTGTGCTCCTTCGCCTATTACTTAAAAGGTACTTTCGGTATATAAGACTTAAAGTTCTTATTTTTTTATTTTATTTTATTTTTTTTTAGTGTGCACACTTGAGATGGCTTAAGTATCTGGAGGGGGGGTCTGGGGGTCTTGTAGTACTGCAAAGTTGTGATGTAAAGCTGTGGCCTGCAGCGATTGCAGGTTCCAACATCACCATGTGAGGAAGAGCAGGTTTTATCAAGATGAAGTCTTGCATGTTGGGACTGGTAGTTTCTGTGGAACAGGACTCCAGATTAAAGACAGACAGCTGCAATTATTTAATTTCTTGAAAATTAGGAATGTCCCTAGGGTTTTTAACAAATTATGACTGTAACAGCTTCCATAGTACTGTGCCCTTTTATTTGGGCATTACTGTGCTAGACTTACCTCAGCAGTACTGTGTTGGTTTAATATGTGATCACTGCTTTTCCTCAATAAAATTGTCTGACACTGTTTCATGTTGGCTGGCATACAGCATTCTTCTTAAATTTGTTTCAGAAAAGTCTTTGTTAGCACCTCTGTTTGCAACTTTCCAATAATAGAAATAGGTTTCTGTGTATTTTTCATGTTACCTACTGCACCACAGGGATGAATTGTTTCGACAGAGCCTGGCTAAACTTCGAGAGCAGATCGTAAAGGCAAATACACTGGTGAGAGAAGCAAACTTCTTAGCAGAAGAAATGAGTAAGCTAACAGATTATCAAGTGACACTTCAGATCCCTGCTGAAAACCTCAGTGCCAACAAAAAGGTAATGATAACAGAGAATTCTGGAAAACGTGGGTTTAAGACTGATCTAAAATATGTAGACGTATGTAACATTCGTCTCACTTGAGGCCATAAAATGTTACTTCTGTTAGATTATGCATAGGCAAAATAGGGGTGCTACCTGACTGTATTATATTGAAAGTGAGTAATCAGAAGTCAGAATGGGAACATAACATGGAGTATGGCTCTTGCTGTTCTTTCAAGTGTATGATCACTGTATGCACATGCCGTTTGTGAACAGATATTTGTGTTCTGTCGCTGTAAAACCTGCATTTTAGTTACGTTAGCAAAAATCACTGGGTTTTGTTACAGGTGCTACCATTTTTTGGGACTTAAGGACTTTCTAGTTGTAGTGCTGCTGTAAATATAATGATAGCAATTAGGATAACATGTTTGACATAAGTGATTTGATTGTGTGTGTTAATGTTCCTATGTGAATGGTAGTTGTCCGAGAAGGACAAAGAGGTCTGGATCCTCGGAGGTGTGTAGGGTATACTGTGTTTGAGGCAGAGACAGTATGGCTGGCATGCAGAGAGAAGCTGTATGTTCTGTATTTTACTCCTTTTTAGGAATGCAGTTTGAGTGAAATGTTAAACTACTTACATGCACCTTTCCTGCAGTGATTTTTTTTTTTTTTTCCCTCTGATTTAGAGGGGTGCAATAGTAAGTGAGCCTGCTATTCAAGTGAGAAGAAAAGGAAAAGGTACTCAAGTGTGGACTATTGAGAAACTAGAGAACAAATTGATTGACATGAGAGACCTCTATCAAGAGTGGAAGGAGAAAGTTCCTGAGGTATTGTATGTATTTTCTGAAGGGGATTGGAGATTGAGTGTGTTTTCTTCTGACTCTGTTTAGGATGTTGTACAGATCAAGCTCAATGACTTTATATATGAAAGGGTGCAGTATTGTAAGGTAAAAAAAAAACCCACAACAAAAAACAACGACAAGCAAGCAAAAACCAACCCCCAAAAACTATGAATAATACTAAATATTCAAAATACCCATGCATAATAAAACATGGCTATGTCCTACCGTCACGGCATTCTCAGATATAAGTGTGCTGAGGACAGATATAGTTATGCTGAGGTAGGAACTCATGATACCGCTAAGAGCATGTATTTACCTGGCATAATATAGGTACCATATAGATAAGCACCAGCTGTGAATGGAAGCAGCAAGCTGCATTAGAAATAAAATTATTAAAAGGCAGTTGTATCAACACTAGCTAGGATGCTGCTTAAAGTGCAGAACATGTTAGTGGGGTAGTGATCTTAAAATGTGAAATATTCTGTGATTTCATTCGTATATCCCCCAACCTTAAAGCAGCAAAGAAATCAATTGAAGATACTTAGCCTAGATCGATATCTCCATCAAAACTAAGTGTTGTTTCCTGAGAATTTAAGTAGTACATTAGCCTTGCAAATAAGTGTGGGAGTTGTCAAAAGCTCACTTGTTTAGTGGCAAGAGACAGGCATGAGATTTGGTGTTCCAGAAGACGTCCTCTAAGCATCCAGGTAGAAGTGCATAGGAAGTATATCTTGCTGTCTCGTGGCTGATAGGGAGCAAAAATTACTTGTATCAAGAATCATTCTCACAATTGTTTGAACAGCTGTTGTGCCTTTGTTACATGCTTTGGACGAGACAGTGGGAGTCTCTAAAATCATAACACAGGGGAGGTCAAGCACTTCATCTGTGCCCATTGAAGACAACGATGATTTTGCTGCTGACTTTAGTAAGAGTTGATAGCACATCCTTTGAATGTATTATGTCTGCCTGAGCCAGGATTGTCCTTGCCATGACCTACGTCGTCCATAATGCATGTGTTCTATGTGCTGCATAGAAACACGTAGGTCAAATGCATGTGTTGAAGATGGAGGAGAAGGGAAGGAGGTAACAAAGCCCACTGAGGAGTGCATATTGTGCTAGGAATCTGCATGAATTCTTTGTGGCTGTGTATTGCGGTAGTTGTGGGGAAAATGCTACAGATGAGATCTCAGCTCTGTGGGAGTCCTAAGAACACTTGGCTTCAGTGGGAGCCGTCCTCCACCTTCCCATTTGCTCTCAGAGTGGTGCCCAGCAGTCAGACCAGCTGCTCAGCTAGGAGATGATGTGTCCTGTTTGTCAAAAAGTACAAACAGAGCAGAAGTGAGGTGAAACTTCTTGAAATCAATGGCTGCCGTGCTTGCTCACGGTAAAATCTGCTTTGTCTTGAGGTCACTAAAAAAATGTAGGTCATCCTATTACTACATCCCACAGTAAAGAAACGACTGTATGATGTCCATCTCAAAGATTTCATTTCCGATAGGCGATACGCTTCTAGTCTGTTTCTACTTGTGCAATGGGAAGGAACAGAAAAGCTTGGGAGAGACTTAATTTTAGTGCCGTGACCTTAACCCATACGGTCATTTGACTTCATGTGCCCACGCCGACAGTCTCTGCTGTAACTTTTGTGATCTTTAAAGCAGATAAGGAAGCTGATGGGCAAGAGAGGCGACCCCTTTTACGAAGCGCAGGAGAACCACAACCTAATTGGGGTGGCCAACGTGTTCCTGGAGTGCCTCTTCTGCGAGGTGAAGCTGCAGTATGCCGTGCCCATCATCAGCCAGCAAGGGGAGGTGAGGCCTCTTGCTCTGCGCAGCGGGCTAGGGAGGCAGAGGGGCTTGTCACCTTGTCTGCCCATGAATGAGTGTTTTCCACGAGGCTGTGTACGTTTTCTCTTTAATTGGTTACAGTTAAAGTCGTAGGATAAAATTCCTGGTATCGATGTAGGTAATGGAGCGTAAACCCAGCGTGTTATATATGACAGTGCATGATGCCGTGTACCTTTTTGGTTGAGTGTGAATTAAAAAGTTTTGCATACAAGTACATTATTTTTTTTTCTTTCTCTTCTTTTTTGGCATTGTTGCTTTTCAGTTGGTGATTGAGAGCTGTTCAGTTCTGTTTCTGCACACCTAGACTTAGATATCTCCCATCTTCATGGCTGTAAGTCCCTTGCGCAGAGGTCCTCACTATTTGTCTTGCTTTAGGTTGCAGGACGATTGCACGTTGAAGTAATGCGAGTCACTGGGTCTGTCCCAGAACGTGTAGCGGAAGGAGATGACTCTTCTGAGAACTCCAGTGAGAGTGGGAGTCTGGAAGTCATGGATAGCAATGGAGAAATTATTCATCGAGCGAAGAAGCTCTCATGCAGGGTAAGTGAGAACGCCTGATGAAGTTAACAGTTTCAGGCCTTTGTAACTATGTAGTCAGTCAGCCATAAAGTACTAAGCTGCGCAGGTTAGTGCTTGCTTAAACTCCTCTAAAGAGGAGAGAGAGACTTCTCTTGTTCCAGTTCAGCGTAGGTCAACCTGTGGTTGCCAGTGGCTGAATTAATTCGCGTTAGTTTCTAGTATATGCAGGCCTACATCTTAAATACTGATGTTACGAGGGCTGTCCTTGGCAGATGCGAAGGGGAAGCAGTTTTTCTGTTTGTGGCAGTCTGTGGAGTACTTGTGTGGAAATGCTGCAGGTGTGATCTCAGCTCTCCGGGAGGTTGAGCAGCTCTACGGTTTGTTTGATCATCTAATGTAGTATCTGCGGGTGGTGTCTGGATTTCATTTCTTCTGTGATTAAGTGCTTCATTATCCACTTGAGCTTATCAGCTTCCTCAAACAAAACATGTATGCGGTTCGGCTAGTTAGATGCATGTAACTGCTTTCCTTCATCTGCATTTCTGTATATGCAAAATACAGGTTTCCTAAACAGTGACATCCTTACAGAGCAGTTGCAGGTGTCCTTTAAAAACTTCTCATGGCTGTTGGTACTTTTTGGATTAAATACTCAGTTTCTTGAACAATTTACAGTTGAAGAAGAAACAATCATATTCATGACATCTGTTTTGTCTCCTCAGGTGAAAATCAAAGAAGCCACTGGACTGCCACCTAATCTCTCCAACTTTGTCTTTTGTCAATACACGTTTTGGGATCAATGTGAGTCAACGGTAGCGGCACCAGTGGTAGATCCAGATGTGCCTTCGCCTCAGAGCAAAGATGCTCATTTTACAGTGACTTTCTCTCACTGTAAGGTAACTATTTCTACTATGAAATTGTGTTAGCAGGAGGATGGTATATTTGAGATAAGCTATTTAGAATTTGAGCCTTGTTTTGTTGGGGGAAGAAGGAGGGAATCAAGTCATGTAAATAGTGACTTTTTACTGTACTTTAGAAGGCCATGATATTTCACTTCATCACTTCAAAACACAGCAAAATGAAAAAATCTTTTTATTAGTGGTCTGTTAAATTCTGGTGTCATATTTAATGAGTGGGGGGAAACTATAGTTTATATAATGACATCTTATTATATACTTGTTTGGTAAGCTCAGTAACTTAAAAAAAAATCATTGAAGCTGTGGCATTGTTTTACAGACATTTTCAAAGCACGAAATGCAGTATGCTGAAGCATACATAATAATGTTTCACCACTTTCTTGACCAGAGTTGAGCTTTGATCCAAACTGTGTGGTTTTACCATGCAGGTAGTTAGTTGTTCAGTGTGTCCTTATAAATGAGTTGAGGAGATAAAATTGTTTCGTTCAATTGGGTGTGGCTTGTTTTTCTCATTGCCAGGACTATGTGGTGAATGTCACAGAGGAGTTTTTGGAGTTCATTTCGGAAGGAGCTCTTGCTATTGAGGTGTGGGGTCACAGATGTACTGGCAATGGCAGCTCTGTTTGGGAAGTTGATTCTCTTCACGCTAAAACTAGGACACTGAGAGACAGGTACAAATGAATTACACATGAGCGCTTCTATCAGCTTTCCAAAGGCTTTCCGATATGTGCGGCGCACAAAATACACTTTGGTGAGGCAACCATTAGTTTTTGTGCGGATGTCTTTTTAGGTGGAACGAAGTAACCCGAAGAATAGAAATGTGGATTTCCATACAAGAATTGAATGAGATGGGAGAATATACTGCAGTTGAACTCTATCAGGCAAAAGATGTAAACACAGGGGGAATTTTCCAGCTTAGGCAGGTACGTGTCTTTTCCCTGTTGTCTTATTCAAGCTTAAATTGAGTCTTAATTTTATTCTTAGTTTGTCTCCCTTTTTTTCTTTCTGTCTTTCTGTCTCCCAATTACCTGTTCAGGGTCATTCTCGCAGAGTTCAGGTGACGGTGAAACCTGTGCAACATTCGGGAACATTGCCTCTCATGGTAGAAGCAATTCTTTCAGTGTCTATAGGTGGTGTGACTGCCAGATCAACCAAACTGCAAAGGGGCTTGGATAGCTACCAGGTAAGACAGTTAATTTTTCATGCATTGATTTGGTTTGGGTTTGCTGTTCTAGAGGTAGCCAACATAACTCCAAAAGGAACCTTAGCACACTGGTACATGGTACGCTATTTTGCAGTTTTACACGTGTTTGAGGTTAATACGTAAAATGTGAGCATATGATGTTAAATCTGCTTCTTTTTTTTTTGCTTATAACTCAGTGTATCACTGATAATGTACCAACTGTGGTATTTGAATATACCCAGGACAGCGGGAATACAGAAATTGTTTTTACCTTTGTGTAGAGGTGATTAATACTAGATTCCTAGTGCCATTAGTTTCCCTCCCTTACAGGGATGGTGACAGTTGAGGAGGGGAAAAGCAGGAAAAAAAAAAATTATTAGAGAAAATGTCTTACAGTGAGGTACTAATTACCTTTTCAAAAACAACTGAAATGTGGCTTGATCACAATCAAAAATAGCCATCACTGAATGTAAAAGGGCTATTTCATGTACCGGAAAAAGTCCTTGAGAAGTATAACTGACAAATTCACATTGGAAATAAAGCATGATTTTAACAGTGATAGCAAAGAGTGAGCAGTGGGCCACCCAGGGAAGGAAGGTGCCTTTCATCAGAAGGGTTACATTCAGAACCACAAGTAATTACAACCTTAAATACAGATGAAACTGTAAAACTTGAAGACTGGTGACCTGCTTGCTTGCTCAGTCCTTTTTCTGGCACTGTATTCTGTGGTTTTTTAATTTTTTTTTTAATAAATATATTCACAAATACTCAAATCATGGCTGAGCTGCTATAGTTTGCAACAACAAAAAAAATCTGTTCCTACCCGTTAATAAGATTTTGGTTATTTGAATGCTGTGACTTTAACATTTTACAAGTTTGTGGCAGAATGTTTCTGTTCATGTTTTGGGGGTATTTTTGTGAGTTTCTGTTGAGAGAAATGCATGTGTTTGTTGTGTTTTACAAAATTTATTTTCTCCTACCAGAAGGAGGAGGATGATGGTGGTGATATGGATAGTTACCAGGTATTGCTGCTGTTGCTGTCAATCCTGTGGCATGGGGCACAGCTAATGCTAATAGCCAGCAACTTTCAAATGAACAAGCATACTGGAGCAAGCAAAAGCGGCTTTGAAATACACGTGCTGTGCATTTAAGAGGCTACCTGGGCTGTAAAACACTGCTGTTTCAGTTTACCTGGTGACTTTATACTGTTGCAGTGTGCTCTCTTCTCTGGTACTCAGCAGTCAGCTCTCCTAACTGGCTACGTGAATTGCAATGTGAATAAAAGCTTAGAAACTTGAATTTAGAATGGAAACAGTTTCCAGCAAATATTGCAGGGAAAAGAACAACCACTTGCAGCTACAGGCAGACATCTTTCACAACCAAATTATACAGCATAGGATTTTTTGGGGTTTTTTGTTCGCTGAAGAAAACGTTATAACCTTTTAAGTTGTGTGCTTTTCTGAAATGCCTGTGGGAGAGAGAGGGGAGGATGCGAGTGGGAGGAATATGGAAGCTTCAGTGAAGCAATTTTTTTTTATCTACACAAAACCAAACCTTGAGCCTTTTTTTGTGTGATAAGTAGTCACAGTTTAGGCAGTATAACAGAAGACTCATTTAAAAGGCGATGAAGGGCAGAAAAGGAAATGCATAAAAATTTAAACTTCTATATGGAAGACTTCTGGTAGGCAGTCTTACAGAAGTAAAACCAGTTAGGTGAGAGTGCTGACATCCTTTAAGATAATGTGTTAGGTTTTACAGCAATCTCAAAAATATCAATTAAAGTACTAACTTCTTGCGGGCTGTTTATGCGCTTCTTGACATATCACAGAGAAGAACAAACCAGATTTTCTGTGATACCACAAAGCATGATTGCATGATGGGTTTTGTTTGCATGAGAAATCTTTTAATTGCACTGATAGTAGCTGCTAGCAGTGGAATTTTGTGCAGGTTTGAGGGCGTACTGACCTGTCTAATCTTTAGGAGAACTTAACTATCAACTGATGATACCTGTTTTTCCTATTCCATATGCTATTGAAAAGTCTGATTGCCACCTCTGTGAGTAATTAGCCTGTGGTATATAATTCTGTTTGGCAGTGGAGGCAGTCGCATTTTCTTTTCCTCCTGTTGGAATTTGAGACTTGAAAGCAATTAAGTTTCCATTCATGGGTGATGAGGTACTTAATCAATTTGCATGTAAATCGGGGAAAAACATTTTCTGCATCATGCAAGCTGTTTAATATCAATTCTGGTGAAATTATCACAAAATTCACTGCCCTTTCATCTCAACCACATAGCCTAATAACTTTCTATTATTTTTCCATGTCAGGAAGAAGATTTAAACTGTGTACGAGAAAGGTGGTCTGATGCACTGATAAAGCGCAGAGAATACTTAGATGAGCAGATTCAAAAGATCAGCAATAAACAAGGTTTGAAGCTTAAAGTCCCTGTCATGAGCACTTTATTCCCTGTACCACAGAAGATATATCTGATATATAATACTAATCTCTTTCACTGTAGAAAAATCTGAGGATGATCTAGAACGAGAAGCCCGGCTGGTCGAACAGTGGGTAGGGCTGACGGAAGAGAGGAATGCAGTGTTTGTTCCAGCACCAGGCAGTGGAATTCCTGGTGCCCCCGCAAACTGGTATGTTCAGAAAAACTATTGGAGTGGTTAGCTTTTTCTGCACGAACATTGCACACCACAAGGTAAAAATCTGAGGATGTTTTAGAGCTTTCTGTGTTTCCATGTAATACTACAACTTACACTCAGCTGGCAGAAGGCTAGAACGTCAGGTGCTGGTTTAATGTGAGAAAGGTTTGCTTAGTTAACGTACTACATAAAGTAGCTTTGAGGTGGATTTCAAGGTTTGAAAAACACTTTTTGAATTCAACGTAGTATTTTTCAATTTTAAAATTCTGAGAAAGTTATCCTGTAGTTTGACTCCTTTCAGAAAAGGAGCAGTTCGAAAATGAAAGGTAATTTCGTTGGTAAGGGGTGGGGAGGGAGGAAATTCTGATTTCAAAGGATGTGTTCTCTTCTTTTTCATTTGAATTTCTAATATATTTCTCTTTCAATTTCCTTTACATTTGTGTTTTAACTAAGATCATTGGGACTGACATGCAAAAACGAGGAATGTAACATGTTAGATTTGGGAAGGTGTGGAAGAGAATTGCAGCTCTAATCAAGTGTACACTGATGTCTCTGATAATACCTAATATCTCTTCTTCATTGGGTGAATGATGTAGTGATTCCTTGCCATTTTTCCCCTTATCCACTTGAAATGTGCTGTGGCCATGTAGCTAAAAGTGTATGTATTGATGTAAAGACTGTGCCTTACCAGTGGTTACATATTCAGTCGTTTGAAGGGTTGCTAACCATTATGTACGAGGTGACTACAACCAGTTTGCTTTATAAGAAACAGAACACGGTGTTTTAAACTGTCATTCTCACAACAACTGAAATGTGCTGTGTGGTGTGAATTAAGTTTTGGCAAAGCACTACCTTTGGCTGCGTGTGTAGATAAACAAAATATTGTCTGTGTAACATAGGCATTCAGCTTAGCCATCAAAACATTGCCAGCTTTAGTCATTGGTTGCACTTAGTGAATCTTGCAGGGAGATCTGTTTGCCCAAATTAGCTTAGGTATGAATTTGCCTTCCTTGTTGACAGCAGTTTGTTTTGTTTCAGGATTCCACCTGCAGGAATGGAAACACATATACCTGTCCTCTTCCTTGATTTGAATGGTATGTTGTAACAGCAGATTGAGAAACTTGAGGGGGCAGGGCAGGGAACAGACCAACTGGTTTGGATCAATAAATTGATAAAAGGAAGAATGAATCTGGAATGTCTAAGAAATCAAAGTATTGTAAGAGAGCAAGCTTAGTTTAAATGGAACAGCAGATAAGAAAATCCTGTAAATGTTTTGATGCACAAATCCACATGTCATTAAAGCACTGATGGAAAATCTCCCGACGCTTTCAGACCTCCTGCTGCTGAGGTATCTGTCGAGACTCAAACAGCTGGTTTAATGAAGAGTGTGTTAGGACAATAAAAAAATATTTTGTTAGAGAATCTGAATGTTCTTCCTTTGAAGGTATTTAGTTTTACATGCGAGAAGACTGTTGATATATGTTCTTAAGACATAGACACACGCTGTAAGCAACAAGAGACTAGAGTTAGCACCACATTTAAGGACCATTTAAGAATCAAGTTTGTGAGTGTAAACTTGGACATAAAGCAGAGGAGGATCCACAGGCCTTGTCACATCCAGCACTGCAGTGGGCTACTAGGCATGTTTATATAGGCAGCACATTAGTACTTGCTGTAGAAGCTGCTTTTGGGAATTGATATACCCTCTTTCCTTCATCTGTGCTCACAGGGAATGTTTTTATTGTTTTTTTGTTATCAGCAGAGATTAGCAAACAGAAGATCAAATAAGGTATTTAAACACATTGATGGATCATTGCACAACTTTTTTGTTGTTTAGCTAAAATCCTAATCTAGAGCCAGAACTGCTATTCTCAATTTAAAGATTCCCTGATGCATCAGAAGTGGTTTAACTAAGAGATGAGCTGGTTAGGCTGACAAATAGACAAATCAGAAATTTTCTGGCTGGGTAAGTTAATGTAATGAACACCTAGGAACAGTTTTGAATTCCAGTTAGGTGATGTGAGAATGTGTTCAGGCTGAGTCTTAGCCTAGTTTTACTGCCCTTCTTTTGTATGCCGAAATTGTCTTCAAAATATTGCATAGTAATAAGATTAATTAGGATTAAATGTATTATGAAATATGGGTAGGACTTGATTATAACTTTGTGTTACAACTTTGCCTCTATATATTAATATCTTTTGGTATAAAACTATTTCATTCTTTGCACATTTGTTTCATTAGCTGATGACCTCAGTGCCAATGAACAACTTATAGGTCCCCATGCATCAGGAGTTAACTCAATACTACCAAAGGAGCATGGGAGTCCATTCTTTTATCTGCCGATCATAAAACACAGTGACGATGAGGTAAATTGTTAGCAAGCCTCCTTCTTGACAACTGCAGCTTGTGTTAACGCTTTCTTCTTATGTTTTATTCTCTAGGTGTATGTATTTAATCATTGTTATCTTTTTGTCTTAGAAGTACCGTCTCTAGTGCTGCCTTCATTTTCTGGCCTATTTATTTAGAATTTAAGAGGATATGACTTGTCAGCTCTTCGGCCTTAATTCAGAGGTGGCAGGTCTTAGCTCTTCTTGGCAAAAGAATAATTCAGCTGCCTGACTCAAAATCCCTTTTTTCTTTCCTCACTATTTCAATATTTCTCTTGCAGGCTCTTGATTCTTCAGAGAAAACTACTTCAGTTATTGTGCACACTAGGCAAAGCTTAATATTTAAATAAAACTTTTTCCTTAGTAGTACACAGTTACTTTTTTTTTAAATACAAAGTTTGGGAATTGGTGGAAATTAATTGTTCTGAATTAATTTTGGAATGTCTTAACTAATTTCTTCCATGAAATGTGCCAACTCAGGCCATTGCTTAAGAGACCATTTCCAGCATAAGTGGGACACCAAAGTTGGGCAGGAGGCATGGGGAAGGAAAAAGATGTTCTGCAGGATGGGAGCATGTTTATTCTGTATGGGCCGTTAGAACCTAATCCGACACAGACGGAAGATTTGACATTGAATTTAATAAACTTTTAATGCAGTTGCAATAGGATTTCTATTCCTGCCTCCAGTCTTGCTTATGCTCTCTTTTCCATCTCTGTCCGTGTGAAGACTTCCTTTTGGGGCAGGGTTTGCACAATGCGGGGATTGCACTTATGGTTGCTACCCCCAGTATCTTAAGACCTCTTTTATGCTGCTTCTGGTAAAATCCTTACTATGAAAAGGAGGTTTGACTCCACTTTGTTCAATGATGCTTATTTTTCTCTCCTTAAAGTATTGTTTTACTTCCTGTTAAATCATTGCAAATTATACCTGTTATTAGAGTAACTGAATCTTTGATTTCCTTTTTCTTCCTCTGCTTTGTTTGTCCGCATAGGTTTCAGCTACTGCTGCTTGGGACTCTTCTGTCCATGATTCAGTGCACCTGAATAGAGTAACTCCTCAAAATGAGAGAATTTACTTGATAGTGAAGACTACTGTGCAGCTCAGCCATCCCGCTGCAATGGAACTGGTATTACGCAAAAGGATTGCAGCCAATATTTATAACAAGCAGGTAAGAAATTAATATATTATTTTATTTGTTTGATAGTCTTTATTTTATGAATGTGTTTTCTTGGCTGGTTGTTTTATTTTGTGTAAGGTTAGTCCCTCTAATTCTTCTGAAAGACAAATGAAAAATAGGTTGTTATGGGTCGTAGTGAAGCTGTGCACTTCTGGTGTATCCCTTTGAACTCCAAATTTTTCAGCCGGATTTTGTTCGGAGTGTAACAGGTGTTACTTTTGTAACAAAAAAGGTGTTCGCCTTCTTGTCTAAACAACTTGAAATGGTCTTTGATTTGGAGAAGTTTGCAGTAGCTTATCTAATACAGGGTCACTGGACCCACCCCTGAAAACATCTTTGGTGCCTTCAATTGTTCAGTGTAAACACAATATCTCTTTTTTCTCTCTCTTTGCTGCTTTCTCTGTTAGTTACAAACTAGGCTGGTTTCTCACCATTACCCAAATTGTATACATTCTCTGCCCACTTTTACGTGATGTCTTGGGTAGGGCATTTGCTTTGGCCACAAGAGGGCTTGCTGTTCCCCTTGCTTTGCTGCTTCATGGGTTTAGACAATGAAATGCTCTCTGAAATCATGTTCCTTTCTGTTTCCCAAGTGATTAAGACCAAGAGCATATTTCAGAATTGCTTCAGATTTTGCAGTGCAATAGGGGGAGGAGCACAAAACAGCTATGTACTACTGAGCAACTCACTAAGCAGCTGAATTCCATGCCTTTTTGTAGCTGTCGTATTGTCCTTTGCTAGTTTTGTTTGTCTAAAATGCCTTATTAGATGAAACTTTACAGTTAGTGATGTAGGGGCTAACCAGCCTGACAATGAAGTATGCTAAGCTTGTGATTATGACAGTGAAAACTCTGGTTGCTGTTTCAGTTATGGCTAGAAAGCAGAGTTGTGCTTTGCTATTGCAAGAGGAATTTTCTACCTGTTGACCAGGTGGCTGACAAAATGTGCAATGTTGGTATCTGTGCATTAGAGACTTCTTACAGCCTTGGTTTCTCAATTACAAGTTACTATAGGAGGATAGAGCATGAGTGCGAAATGGGAGGAAGAGGTTACTGATTGAACTTAGTAATATTGTACGCTGAGCGCAGGGCTGTAAAGAGTACTTGAAGGATCGTTGATGCTAAAAAGGAACTTATGGTCCTGCAAAATGTGCTTTTGTGGTAAAATAAATTTTTGCGTCATGACCTTTTATTTCCTAGAACGTCATAAATAATCATTGTCAAACCAATAATGGAAAATTACTTTGTTTCTAGAGTTTTACCCAGAGCCTGAAAAGGAGAATATCCTTGAAAAATATATATTATGCCTGTGGAGTGACCTATGAGATAGTATCCAATATACCAAAGGTAAATCATACCTTATTTCTCTGGTAAATTCACTGAAAGGAACAGAATGACTACTGCAGTGGGTGATGCTGATTGGGGAGTAAATGTCCTGCTTTCTAAGAGGAGGTGGTTTGCCAAAGCGTGTATGCTGAAGTTCAGTGGCGAGATCATCCTTATCTTTAAACAGTTGAAAAACTGTAGAGACTTTATTTTCTCTTCTACTGCGTTTAACTGCGTTCTTGTGGTAGAGCTATTTTTGAAATCATATTAGTGTCTGCAGAGAGAATATAGTGGGTGCTCAGAGGGATGTTCAGGTCAGTGAAAACAGAATACCTGGGAAAATGAGTTTGCAGGAATATAAACTGCTTTTTGTAGAAAAAGCTTGTACAAATTGTGAATCTACTATGAAATTTATTTTAAACTGGACAAATGAAAATGTAAATAGTCTTGTCGCCATGTAATTGTCACTTTGGTTTGATAGTACTTAAAATTTAGACTCTGGGGAAACCACACAGAACATCTAAGATTTGGGAAGGAAGTCGCATTTACTTGCCTAGGAAGTTGTCGTTAGTTGATCCTTAACATATGTAATTTCAGGTTATATATGCATTATTTCTAGAAGTACCTTGACTGCAGCAAATGTGCAAAATTTCTCCCAAGCACAACCTCTTCTTAGTTCAACATTCTTTATGGTTGTATTGAGAAGTCCTGGATCATTGATTGTATTAGGATTGCTGATTAAGTTAAGGATTATCAATCCAAATTGATTTCTGGATTGCGACAGTCTAAAGAAGTGAATTGATACATTAAAAACAATAGACTTTAATTTTTAAAACTTCAATAGTGTAACTTGTTGTTTAGGCTACAGAAGAAATTGAGGATCGCGAGACCTTAGCGCTGATGGCCGCAAGGAGTGAGAACGAGGGCACATCTGATGGCGAGACGTACATTGAAAAGTACACACGTGGCGTGCTGCAAGTGGAGAACATTTTGAGCCTTGAACGACTAAGACAGGCAAGGACAAGGCGCTGCTTGCACTTTTTGAACCGGATTACGAGAGTTAAAGTAGAGATGATTGATCTTTTAAAAATATTAAGTGTTGTCTGTTTTGGGTTTTTTTTAGTTTGGGTTTTTTTAGAGAACATTGGACAGATAAGTGTAAGACTAAGTGAAATACGGAATTCCAGTAGTGGTGAGTCTAGTAATTATAGTAACTATAGCTGACAATGATGTAGTACGCAGAACCTGAATAGGCAAAGGCCAAAGAATGAATTCCAGATACGAATTTTGGTGGTTGTGTGTGCAAATTAAGCTTTGTAAATGCAAGCCCTGTTCGCTGTTGTTAGCCACACTGAAAAAACTTTCTCTCCTGCTTGATCATTTCTCATGAGGAGACCATGGTGTTGTTTTTAGTGGGTTGTTTTCTTTACGCAGGCAGTCACAGTCAAAGAGGCACTCTCCACCAAAGTGAGGAACATCCGCAGAAGCATCAGCACTCCAAATGTCCACAATGTAAGGACCTTTATCCCCTGGTAAATTGGTCCTAATGGGGCAGGGGATATGCCCCATTAGGGGCATGTATGCAGATGTCATGCTTGCACACAGTGTGATCCGATAACGAGTATTGTGGGCCAGGACTAACCAGCCTGTAGGAAAGTTGTCATGAATGAAAATGAGTCACTCAACCCCTCCCCACAACTGTCTGTCCTAGGAGATAACAGAGTTGACAGGGAAGTGGGAGGGTTGGTCAAAACTCCTCTCCTTTTGTAAGGATATTCATTTTGGAAGTAATCTAGAGTGCCAGCTGCCCTGATTCAGATGACTTTTGCTTCGAAGTCCCTTTAACTTTTTTTCATAGCATAAGGGATAGTTGCCCTTTTGAGTGCATTTTAAGTGCCACCCACTTATGCAGCACAGACATAGCTGTCCTTACAAATAATCTTATCTGAAAAGAGATAACAGAAAAGTTGTTAGAGATAAATGATCACAGTGTTTCCTCAAAGCATTGTGTTTTATAAATAAAAGGTAGGCATTTTGTCATTCTGCCTGTTGGTGTTCTGTAGGTATCCTGTAGCCGACTAGATCTTTCTGCCTATGATGAAGATGATAAGGTATGTGAATGTGACAGCAAGTGGTGCCCATTCTCATGTTCTTTTCCCCCTCTTTGAATTGAAGCAAGATGTGTTTGAGAAATGGGAAAAAAAAAAAAGGAAACCAGTATTTTTAACGGTGTGTTTACATAGTATATCTTTAAAATGCTGCCGTAGTTATGCATTATTTTGAATTAAACCTTCGTGTCCTCTGCTCTTTGTATTAGGATTGTAGAAACTGATATTTAAGAAGGGGGAAGCTGTAGCAAAACTTAATATACTTCACTGAAAAGCTTATTAGCTTCTAAACACTCCATTTGTGTGAGACAAAATTGTCTTAAGTCAGTAATTTGACATTGCTTTGGTTAATTTTTTTTAAAAAAAACCCAAACCTGCCTTTGAGTTTACCTATTAATTTTTCCATGTTTGCCTGTATCAGCATGCCTATTTGTGTATTTTTGTTTCTTAGGGTTGGTCTGAAAGTCACCTAGATATATCTGACTGTTCTTCCAGTTATCAAGATGTATCATGCTATGGTACTTTACCCAGGGAGTCGCCTCGCAAGAGCAAAGATGGCAGTGGTAAGACTTTAAAGTATATATGTAATGGCAATGTTTATGGTTTTTTAATTACTGCATTAAACTGAAAATTAACTTCTTGGTACTCTCTTCCTACTAAATGCGTTATCCAGCTTCTTGGTTTAGGAGCTCAATGTAATCTGGGAGTAGGGGAGAAAGGGAGAAAAGCATGAGAACATCCAGGAAAGGATGGGAAGTTGGGGGTGTACAAAAAAACAAGAGGAGGGCAGAAGAACAAGCTAAATGTGAATCAAAACAGTAAAAGGAAGAAAAAGAAAAAAAAAAAAAGAAAGAAAAAATAAAAAGGAACTGCTGTTATTTTAAAAATTTGAAAATGAAAATGCTTTTGTTAAAGTGGGAAGGATCCTTTTGCAGGTTCTTTATGTGATTTGGATATTTGCTGTGCCCTGTCAGCATGTCACAGGCATCTTATTTTCTTCAGGTCAAATTGTAACACACTCTTCTTGACCAGGCAAGACAGGTGGAGATACTGCTGCAGTAAAGCGGGACTGAGAGTTTATTAATTGCTTCCTTGCCTATAATTTCCTTTTTGACCATCCTGGTTGTGCAGGATTGCTGGCTTGGTTCCAGGGCACAACTGCAGTGTTGTGGGCAGAGATCAGGTGAGGCACATGAAGCAAGAGCTATCAGTTCCAGTTTCAAGGACACCTCCCACTGGTTTTATGGGTGAGACAAAAAGGAGAAGTATTGGAGCCTGAGAATGGAGGGGGCAGACACTGCTATTCTGTGCCTTTCCTTCTGTTTTCAGGCCTCTCAGAGGGACAGAACCTCTCCTCGTTGAGCTGTGCGTTATCTCATGCTTGGGCCATGATTGAATGCTAGAATATTGACAGTTTTCTATCGCCAGAAACTTGGCAAATGCATGGCTTAACCTTCAGTTATTTTGTAATTATGCTTTTGCATTCCAGAAATGGAGAATTGAAATGCAGTATTTTTGCTTTTTTGCCTAGGTGGGGTAGCAGAAAACTCCCATGCTTTAATGGCCAGCCCTTTTAAAGCGTTTTCTCCTCAGCCACCAAAGTTTTTCAAGCCCTTAATGCCAGTGAAAGAGGAACATAAAAGGAAGACACCCCTTGAAAGCCGACCTCTGCTTAGTCAAGAGGTAATCTTTGAAAACCACCTGTTTTTTGGTTTTTTTTAAAGGAGATGGAGTGATTTTATGTATTTGGCAAATCGTTTGCAGCATGCGTCTGTTGCAATAGCATTTTGTAATTCTCTGGTAAAATTAATCAGGCTGTTCTTTATACATGGTGGGGTTTTGGTGTTTGTTTTTTACCTGAAACACTGAGGGGTTTTTTCACTTCTTGATAAGTATTCTCCTTTACAGGGTATTTCTGTTCTGTTTTAAAGTAGCAGTAACCTGCATTTTTTTCCTCCAGCAAGATGTTGGTGTCTTTTTTCATAGATAAAATGTAATTCTGTGAAACAGTGTTCTAGGGTGGTTATAATTCTGACCTTTATTCCTCAACCTAAAGCTCTGTTGTGAGGAGCACATGAGTTTCTCTACCTATTAACTTGAATTTTGATGTATTTATGGCCAGCATGGGCGTTTCACTTTTCGTCATGTCTTAACACCTTTCTAACTTGCACACGTTCAGCGCTGTGGTCAGAGTTGTGGTTTGTGTGATGTGTTGTGTGTGTTAACCTTTGCAGAGCATGCCTTCACCTCAGGTGCATGGCACTGGCTGTGTTGTGCCTTCAGGAAGTAACGTCAGCAGCATGCCTGTAGAAAGCAATAGCATACGTGAGGAGAAGATTGTAAGTTTTGGACCAGTTTGTTACGAGGCCTGGTGGCGGGCTTAGGGCCGTTTGGTGGTGGGCTTAAGGCACTCACGCTGCTGCAGCAGAAAAAAAAAAAAGGTGTGATGTGAATATAATCGCTTGTGATTAATTGTAACTCATGGGTGTAATGAATGGGTGCTTGCCTGGCTTGCAAATGCAATCTGTCTTTGGAATTAACTCGGTTGGGATTTTGCGTTTTGGTTTGGTTTGGGTTTGGTTTTTTAATTTATTTTAATATTCATATGTGATTTGTCTAGTGGGGTGGGTGGGAGAGGGGAGGCTTTAGTTTTTACAGGGCACAAATGATCAAGTAAAGAGCGGGTTAGTGAACCATGTTGTTGTCACTCTAATGTACCTTGTATGTTACCCAGATTTTGTGACTGTACCCCAGAGTAAATGGAATGATCCCATTTGCTGTAAGTAACTGTGCATTTAGGTGTGGGTACACTATAAAGAGCTTCTCGTTGCCTGATGTGGAAGTAATATGACTAAAATAAGATTGCTGCTCTTAATTAACCTGCAGCCTGCCTTCATCGTATTTCAGGCGGTGAATTGAGGTGGAGGGCTTTTATTTTAATCTTCACCTGCCAAATCCTTTTCTCACTGCTGCTTCAACAAAAGATATGTCGTCATTTCTGCTGTATGATGGACTCTGGTTTTGGTCTGTGGAACATGGCTGTAAATACTTGCTTTAATCAGGACTTTAGACTTAAGATTTGGAACCTTCAAATTATTTCCCGTAAGTATTATAGGCCTCTTTTACCACAGAGTGCTGGTAATGAATTCTTCCTATTCAACAATTGTTTTCATTCCTACCGGATAGCCAAGCCATTAAAAAAAATCTGCTCTGAATTTCTAATGCTATTTCGTAGGTTCTTACACTGGAGTATCCTGAGTGTTCTGGTGTCTGTATCTGAAGCTTGGCTGCTGGTTTTGGGTAGCAGCTGTTTTATTTTGTCATGTTAATTTTCCATAAGGTAGCTGACATGCTGACTCACACTGAGTCACAGATACAAATAGCATGAAGGTATTTAGAAGATAAAAGTCTTCTAGTGGGTTGAAAAACATCCCTTGGAAATGAAATTGTTACAAAATTTTCGGTAGGAACTTCAGGGCAGTTTTAATCCCTTGAGTAACAACAGGGTCCCACCCTGTGCGTTCCTGGAATTATCCTGGGCATTTGCCTGTACTGTTTTCCAAAGATAAGCAGAAGCTTTGAGAGCTGGAAAAGGGCAATATCCTGCACCAGGCTTTTCCAGTTAGCATGGAACTAATTCGTTGAACACTGTAAACCTGCTGTAGCTGACAGGGCCCTGGAAAGAGCTGTTCTTTCAGTTCTCAGCTGCTTGCACCTACCCTTGCACTGACTTCTGCCTTGCATCAGCATAGCTTTTTTGTTTGCTTTCATTGTAAGTCAAATCAAGGGAATTGATCCATCCAGCTGATGGCTAGACTACCATGGAGTTATACTTCATTTGGATCTGTTCCCCTGTCTGATCACATTATAGACACTTGAGTGGGTACCAGGGAGGCAAGCGAGAACCAGCAGCTGCTGGTGGGGGAAGAGGAGGTTGAGGCGGCTGCTTGGCATAGCCCTGCCAGCTTGTGGTGTCAGGTTTATCAAATGATGGCTTCTGGGGGTTTTTATCACTTTAGGAAGAAAGCCTTTGAAAGAGGTAGGCTTCCCAGGCTATCCTGCGTTTTTCAGAGTGGGAGCAAGCCTATGTTTTACCTAGGGTGGAGCATGAATTTCACCCATTTGAATGAATAGCGCTCTCGGAACAAGTTCAGAGATTACACTAGGGCAGCATCACAGCTCTGTGTGAAATTTCAGCTGTCTGCTCCTCTCTGCTTCGCAGTGAATTTTTCATATTATTACTCAACACTGTAAATGATCACTCCAAGGTGCAGAGCCTCATGCTCCTATTTAACTGCTGGGTGATTGGTGTCGCTTCAGGTGTGATGCTCACTTGCATCTTGCAGCATGTAAAAAATGCTGTAGTGGCTAAACATACAAGAAGCTAGTAATTTTAGCTGGGTTGATGTTCTGCATCTGAGCAGGCATAAGAATGATGTTTGGCTTTTTTCTCATGTTTCTCTGGGGTCTGTTCTTAACTTGTCTTGAATATTCAAAACTCATCTGTCAAAGGAAGAAAAAAGTAAACAAAAAATAGGGGGTTTTGTTCAATTGGGCTGAAATAGAGCATTCGACCTAAAATTTCAGACAGTACTTCCACTTGCATTTAATACTGCAACTATTTCAAAACAGCGTGACAGAAGGGCATGCTATAATCTGTGCTCTGTATAATACATGAGTGCAGGGCAATATGTTATGGTCAGATGCAATGTTTTTGTATTGAGGGTATTCGAATACTGCCTGTAATTAACATGTCTGGGGGGAAGTGGCTAAGAGCAAATTCTTCTCGTGGGCGATGAAAATTGAAGCCCCAGTGATGCAACCCCTAAGTAAGTATTGCTGATTTTTAAATGAGTGAAATGGGAACTACCATCTTTGAGGTTACTTGAGAGCTGTACTTTAGGGATCTGAAAACTCAGTGTGTTTGTTACAAAGCGGGT